CGGAGATCCGTGCGGGGCAGTGGACCTCCCCGATTTTATGGCGAGAAAATCATGTAATCCTGAGCTGAGAGGCCATGATAGTCCAAGGGGTGTAAGCCTTTTCTTATTGCCCCGACCAGATGTTCTAATGATCGCGATGAGTCGTCACCTGAAAGTGCTCGCAAACGGATTCAAGACGATGAAGTCATCATTTCGGTAAGGTTATCATCCAATATGGATGAGTATATCCTCATAAATACTCTTCAATCACGTTTAATCCCGTGTCGGTGGTATTTCGAGGTAGAAAATAAGCCAGGAAAGCAAAATGCTTTGGCTGATGCGTTGTCACGCAAACCGGATTATGATCATGCTCATGTCACGACGGTGACGTCGCCAGTGACAGATTTGATCCGAGTTTGAAAACTCGAATAAGAAGTTGTCGGCACCTTTGCGCGCACGGTTGCACCGAGATTTATTGAATAAAGGATTGCTGTATTATAGAACCGACTCAACGGATACGCCACAAATTGTGGTTCCTCACGATGAGAATTTGAAATACCGTATCTTCTATGAGGCCCACGACACCCCTGAGCGGTCATCTCGGTTGTAAAACATTCTATAGAGCTTTGTGAGTTGCCACTACTGGTGGCCCAAGCTGTACAAACGGACGAGCACCTATGTGCGCACGTGTGAGACGTAAAAAAGAGTGAAACTCTCTCCTAATGCGGGCGCCAGTTTACTGGTACCACCCGAATGTTGGCTGTCCATGAGAAGAACATTGTGTTTGGCCTGCCGAAGAACTCGGTGGGCAACACGGGTGAGGCGGTCTTTGTGGATCGTTTGAGCAAGATGGCTCATATTGCGGTGGTGCCGGAGACCACCGACGGTGTCGGTACAGCGACGCTGTTTGTGGATCGAGCATTTCGACAACAGGGACTCCCGGAGTCTATTGTCTTTGACAGAGACCCACGCTTCACTAAAACGTTTTAATAGACGATCTTTAAGGTGCTGGGCACCAAGTTGAGTATGTCAACAGCGGACCATCCGCAGACCGATGGTCAAACTTGGCGAAAACAAACTTGGCGCGTGAATCGCATCGTTGAAAACGTCCTTTGCAGCATCTACGCTGAGACGCTGAATTGTTGAGAGGCTGGAGCGCCATGGTGCCACTCGTAGAGTACTCTCTGATCAATGCAGTGCATTCTTCTACCAGCTACACACTATTCTACGTGAGCGGGCTTGTTCATCCTCGCATCCCGCTGACGCCGCCATCCCATGGATCAGGGCTTGGTGGGAGAGGAATAGCCGAGCGGCTAGCTGATGTCAGCCCCCTCACTGATCGTAAAGAAGGCGATGACATCCTGTCTACCTGCCTGTGTATCCTACGACACGTCCGCGATGCGATGGCTGAAAGTCAAGACATGCAGAAAGAATATGCAGATGGGAGAAATGTTGAAAACGTTGAGGTCGATGACCTGGTTTGATAGTAAAAACCTTCCTACACATGCAATTTCTGATGTCTCTAAGACAAAGCTCCGCCCACGGTATATTGGACCTTGGAAGGCCGTGGCCAAGTTCCAACAAGGACGCACATCCACCCGGTATTTTACGTGGGCTTGCTTAAGCCGTACTGGGATCCGGCGCAGGTGAAGGCGAAAACATTGGCGTCGAGGCGGTGTTCAAAGGCGCTGATCCACCTAGTGGCTGAACCAGCAACTGGTTCTGAGCACGAAGTGCAGAAATTTCCGTTTACAACGGCGCAAGGCTCTACACCGTCGCACGAAGCGACGCATTCTTCTGCACGACGGCTAGGAGCCGCTCCGACAGAGTGCGATAGTCGTCAACGCGAGGCAATCGGTGCACAAAGTGCTTCAAGCTCTCGAGATGTTCCGCACAGCGGTATGCGATTCCAGCATGATGCTCAGCGGGGTCCCGATCGCGACGGAGCTTGTCCTCAAGAGCTCGAGAAGTATCGCGAGTCACCGGATGGCGATCGACCAAGTCGCTATCGTCCGCCACCGACTCTTCCCGACGAGAACTGTGGTGTTCACTATCTCGTTGGACGTTTTGTGGGCTGAAGTCGCCAGGGTCAAATCCAGTATCTTGTGAAGTGGCGGGGATACCCCGACTTTGTAAAACTCGCGGGATTTTGAGGTGCCACTTCGGCAAGACTATCCAAAGAGAGAGAGAGAGTCATGGACGCTTATGATCATAGGAATCATGACACTTCGCGTCGTCGTACGCCCTGTGCTTCTCGGTAATAGCCAGAGAAGGTGAGCTGAGCTTAAGATATGGCCCTGAGCTGCTGTAATCGCAGACTCTCTCGTGTGGGAGACCACAGAGCTCGCGGGAGTGTGATGGGTTAATCCATATGTCGTAGGGCGACATTGAGAAGGAAGTCGGCGGTGCGCCATGGGTTTGGCAGATCTGAATCGAAGATGGCGTGTCAAGCGCACATCCACCTCCTAGCAGGTCCGCGGTGAGTTGGACGGCGATGAGAGCTTCCGGAGCCGCTGCATCTATCGCTCAAAATGCTTGTTATCATCCGCAGCGGTTTCGCCAGGGGCGAGCTCCACAGGAACCGTTTTAATAGCGGGTACAGGAGCGCCTCCTTTTTTAGCGCGATGTCGAGCGCGGAACCTATCCATGCGGGTTTCTTGAGGTACCAAGAAGCAAGCTTGGAGAGCTTCTTGTTCGTCAAGCTCAGCTTGTGTAGTGGCGGGGGGCCCGACCTCATAGACGCCCAACGTTCGAGTGACCGAGTCCTTCGCTCCAAATGATCCGCGGAGCGATAGCCGATTTCACGCGAGGGTCTAGGACAGGCCATGGATGCGCGCACATAGCCGCCCTGCGGGCAGCATCCAGCTGCTATTCCTTTGCCTCGTCGGGGCGATGTCCCCGGATGTCGAGGATTCGAGAAACGGACACGGTGTCCGCAAGGTTCGAGAAGGGCTCACGTCGCGTCGCTGGCGCACCTCGTTCTCCTCCTATTCCCATCCTGGGAAAGGAGAATCCGACTCGTAGTCGGCTTTTTTCAAATTCTCGACGAGGAAATCTGTCACCCATGGCGGGCGCGGTGCGCGGTAATCGGTTGCCTAGGGTTTGGGTTGCGCTTCCCTGGGAGCCGAGGGCACGCTGTCCGAAGTTCACCGCGTGCTAGAGACGAAGAAGGATTTTTTCCGCGAGCGCTCTCGGAGCCAGCGAGACTGGGTGTCTTTCGTGTCCTAGGCACGGGACTCATTGAGCCGAGAATGCGTGCAGAAGGTCCTGAGGGTGTAGAGGTGTCTTAGAAACGCGAGCCTCGCACGAGTCGACAATTTAATGTGAATTGTGAGTGCTCACAATTTTTGATCGGGGAGGGTGTAACGGGGTTACACGTACCGGGTGTGAAGGGGTGGGTCACACAAGACGGTGTGACCATACAAGTGTGTGGGTTACTCATGATGGTGTGATCATAAAATGGTGTGGCTAACTATTAACAAGAAGTCAGTACGTGGCTGGACTGCCAGTAGTTATGCGTTTCCTGATTAATAGTAGAACCTATAGATTTAGATATAGGCAGCTTAGCCGCAAATAAAATAAGAAATGCAGTTTACATCCTAAACGGAAGAGTTGATTTGCTATGAGTTTAGGTTGTGGTTTCTCTTGGAGTAAGCGGATTGCGATTCGCTACACTCTTACTGGTTCTAATTATAGAACGAAGGTCACCGACCTTAGCTAAGCTTCCTCTAATCGAAAGAGCAACGGCAGCCCCGCTGCACTGCTGGCTATAACGTATGTTTCTGTCAAGTTTGGGGCTCACTGGCTTGTTCTCAGTCATAATATTATGCATCATTATGCGCCGCGACGCAGTTATCACATCTTTCCCAGAAAACAGCAGAATGTGAATCCATCTGAGACAATTACGCCACAAGTATCAGTATAATATAAGCTAGGCCGATCAACCGTGGTTGCGGCTGAGCTATTTTAAGCTGTCAACTCGGATGTAGATCAATCAAAGCGTTTGTTTACACGTTTGCACCACTAAATATTATCGGAAGACTTGCTCTATCACAGCACTGTCTGAGCGCATACTCGAACCTCATAAAGAGGACCAATGCGATGCACATGCCCCATTTCGCTAAGAAAAAGATTACAGCTCAGTGAGCACTATGTTCTGGTGATGAAACATAAGCAAACAAAAGGCAAATTTATGCTCACGTGTGAAGCATATCAACAAATTGAACTTTCGCCACATGCTTCGGTACCTTTAACCAAACTGCTGATTCCGGAAGAATCCTGGCAGTCCATGAGCATGAACATTATCGTGGGATTATTAAAGTCTTGTCCAATGATTTCTGGTACTGCTACTTTGTGGTCGATCTGAGTAGAATGTCAACAAGGCTTACCAAATGCTAGTGATCTTCCAGAGAGATTTACTCAAAGTGCTTGGCACCAAACTGAGCATATATACTGCTGGCCTTATATCGACAGAAGGTCAGACGGAACAAATTAGCTGTGTGGTGAAAATATCTTTGAAACACTTGCGCTGCACTGGAGAGTAGTGCTCTCACTCATAAAAAAAAGCCGCGCTGAATACGCTGTGCACGTTGCACTTTTACGTTATATATAGTAGCCCCGTATTCCTTGAACACCACCACCACAAAGTGGGCTGGGCTTGGTGACGGTGGAGCTGTTAATCCGACTTGACTTGCTCATATCAGCCCTGCTACAGTTCGTAGCAAGTTTATTCTATTTCGGCAATTGAGTTATCTGTATTGAGTGCGCGACACTACGGCTGAGCGCCAGGATGTGCATCAGCAGCACGCGGATATCAAAGGTAGATGGAGCACATACGAATGTGTAGCGGGTGAGAATATTTTACATTACACTGTTAATCACCCACAGAAGCAGCATCTACAATCGCATTCAGAAAAGAAATAGAATTCGTTAGATGGCGCAAAGAGAATACAAGCACATCTGGTGTCTTACTTTCATTAGTCATTATGTTTTGGGTACTTCGTTGGATACGGAGCAACGTTTCAACCACCTCGGTGGACGATCAACGTGCTATGCCAGAGTAGCAATACAACTCGAAACCGGGTAGGCTTCAAGACATTCCGAGAGATGGCGAAGCTCAGAATGTGCATCCGCAAATTGACTGAGGCTAGTGTTGCTGCTCGCCGAGATTCTCGGTAGAACACTGACGAGTCGCCATTACCAAGAAAATTCTTCAGAGTCGTCCGCGGGAGAGTCATTCTTCCCTGGCATCGCTCGTAATTTAAGAGGTGGTTCACGTTCATGTGAACCGTTCGGTAAGTCGCTAAATTTGCCAGGTCTGTAATAAATGTTTAGTGAGGTGAAAAAAGTAATCTCACTTCGAAAGCTCATATTGGCCCGAGGTCACTTTTCGGCAAGATTGCCTGCTCTTCTTTTTTTTCTTTTCTCTTTTCTCTTTTCTTTTCTTCTCTTGGCGCACCCATTATCTTTAGTTCCATAGAAGAAAGCCTAGCGCAGTTTGGTCATTAAGACGCCAAAAATAGATACGGCATTGGTATGTCTTTCGAAATGAACATTCCAAAAGTATTGTTGAGCTATTTGTTTGAACTACATAGAAGCATCATATTGACGCTCGTCTGTAATTGAAGCTGGAAATTTGGCTGGAAGCGGTACCAGCAGGGTCTTGATGCTACGTAGGGCTGCTGACACTAAGAACCTGAGGTGCAATTTATCTCTACGTGGTGCTTTGTATCTATAAAGTCAAGCACTTAACGACTTTAAAATCTGGCATCTGCTTCACTAGGTGCTGACTCGTAAAGCTGTAAGATGTTGGATGAGTGATACTTTCATTAGTGCGCAAATCGAGTAGGTCTTTGGATCCTCGCCAGCTTTGATACCAGAGTTACAGTTTCCAGCACGGTATATCACCAGACCAGATAGAAAGCACCGCGTTTGAAGCGCATCTGGACGCCGTTTGTAAAGACCTTTCCTGATTGGGAGATTTACAATCAAGTGGAGCTTAGTAACCAACTTGATGACTCATATCGGTAGCCCAGAGCAATTAAAAGATCCAAGCACAATAACGGGAAATGCTAGCGTAAATGCGAGCTTTCTCTGGCTGATCGATCAGCTATGTATGCGACTCCATTGAAGTAAAGCCGTCCTCATTTCTTTTATAGCATGTATATATTCGAAAAGGTCAGTCCGCTTTTTATACAGACTTTGGCCAAAGTTTCAAATATGTTTGAGTTCCACGTATGAATACTATGTAACGTCGAACATGAGTACGCAGTGCAAGCTCCCCACCACAACGTGTTCTTCTGTATTAAAGCAGGCACACCACTCAAACAGAACGAAAATGTTCTCACCAAGAGTAACCGATTACATCATATCTTGTAATATTGCTTACCGCATAGGACGCGAGTTGTGTCAAGAAAAACGCAAACATTGTGACGATTAATGACCATTTTTTTCTTCCGTTTAGCTTTAAATTCCATAATCTCCTTCCGTTTTATGTGCATTCTGAAGTGGTCAAGCACTAGTAGGATGGTATCATAACCTACCAGGTTTAGTTTGACTGTAATTACACCAGAGATTAATCACATCATCTACATTGTGCTTTCTTTCAGTTGGAATCTGAGCTTAGAATATGAGCGACTTAAACGCTACCTAATTCCTATGAAAGGAGTGGATTTATGCGAACATCAATACCCTACCCACAGAATACACTCTTAAAGAGCGGTAACCTATGAGGTAAGAATGCGCTCACAAGGCACCTTATGAGCGCTTGTTTAATGCTTTGTTTAAGCGCAAAATGTACATGTATAAGCATGTAAGGGCTCTGCCGCGGTGCGGCAGGTAATTTGAGATAAATCCACTTTATCATCACGACGTGTATGAGCTCTGCAAAGGTTGTTGCGACTCTTGTGCTTGCAGACAGGCAAGTTCGGCTCGCTGAGGCAGATCCAGTGTATTTACAACGGGCTGGATGGCGTCGTGAGCTCCGCGGCGGTGTGTTGTAACACTTTTCGCGATGGCAAACGAGCTCGGAGGCCCAACTCATGCGGAAGAGAGGTATGTGTAAAGCTTTAACTCGGTGATCGGATTCGACGTATGTCTCTCGGTGTGAAAAGATGCCGGGCTGGAAATTTGAGAGTCTTTACTCTCATTGGACAATACATTGGCCCTCATCTAGTATAACGATATGATCGACGGCCGCAGGGGCCGCGTCTTTCCCCGAAGTTCGTTCAGTGAGGTGGGCACATATGGAAGCGAGCTCCCGATCATTAGGAGTTAGCACTGACAGGTATAAGTAAATGAGAAGAATTTAATGTTTAGTCGGATCTTGATGAGGATTTAATTTCTCGCGACTTCTCAGCAGAGAAACTTAGCGCGACCCCAGTGTGTTCATATCTTAACGGGGGAAGCGTATGACCGGGAGTGCATCGTATCATCCTGTACGTACGCATAACAAGCAAAGCTTTTTAATACGAATTGATGAGGACATGTGAGTTGCTAGCCTCACTTTATGTACGCAAGCATTGGGTCATAATATTGAAGATAAATGCAGTTAGTATCAGTTAAAAAATAATCTTCATTTTGGATATATCATAATTATGAATAGCTTTTCGAAAGGCTCTTGTGAGTCAAGGTGAGGTGCACAGCAACTCCGTTGCATAGTGACTGACACGAAGAATCCGAAGGTAAACAGCAATAAACGGAATAAACAGAAAAAATTAAAGAAACATAGTGATAATAATCAAAGTGGGCGTAAGTGCTGGTAGAGACAAGAATACAGTCACGGCAATGTCTTGAGACGCGGTCGTCTACAGATCGGGATGAGCGTATAGCAGTCACCGAGACGTTTAATGGGCTGGACGTTTGCTTCGTAAGAATTGTCTGCAGGAAGATGTACGGATGACTTAGAAGACATCAATTACGCGGTAAATGATATAGAACATGCCAATTCATTCTGATTCAATATATTTCACGGCCCTCGAACAAACCGCATTTAGCCTCATAGCTATGCACTAGCAGCCCTACTGATAAACTTAAAAACGTACATCGAAAAGCTTCAACTCTACAGATCAGCAGCGTGATATTATCTCAGCGATAGTCAATTTACTCTCGCAGACGCAGCATTGTGAACGCTACAGGCGGACAGATGTAATGCTACATAGCAGCACCATATATGCATTTCGTGTATGCTGAGCAGAACAGTATCGCTTGGCCCTTATGACAGATAAAAGTCGATAGAATTCTAAAGCAGTAATGCAATGAAAGCAACCTCGCTTTGATAAGAAGACCGACGTCATTCCACGGTGAATCGCCATCAAGTCGCCAACTTTATGATTGTTTTATGAGCTCATCAGAGACGTATCACTTTCTATCGCACTGCTGGACAAGCAACAATTATACTTCGAAAAGAGCTGCCTGCTGCTTGAGAGCAGGACATTGTGGTTTCACTTTACCAATTTCGTGACAAGTGACGAAACGTTTTGTCATTCTTTTACTTCGTCTTCGAAGGCCCAAATAGTCCCCCATCACCATCCCAATCAGAATCCGAATCTGAATCTGAGTCCGAGTCTGCAATTTGCATTCGTGTTGCAGTGCTAGAAATTGGAGGGTGCACAACAGATGTAGACGTATTTTCTGGCTGAGGTGGCGTCGATGTACTTCGTACTGTAGCTGGCTTTGCTGTAGTCGACTTCGATGCCGCAACACCAAAGAGCCCACCATCATCATCGCTCCAGTCATCGCTGTCTTCATCTGATAGACTTCTTCGAGAAGTCATCAGTTTTGCAGGTGCTGGCGATGTAGTTATTGTGGGGGTCGAGATTGGAGCTGGCGTTGTTCGCACAGCTGAGGCACCAAATAAATCGCTTTCGTCTGAATCACTGGAATCACTTTCCGCACGAGATTGCCGTGTCAGTGCAGAAGTGGCAGTCATCGACGCTTTTGGAATGGGATCAGGAGCAGATCTAGCCGGTTTTGACTGCCCAAATAACCCGCCGTCACTATCACTATCACTGTCGCTGTCACTGCTGTCATGTTTAACTAAAGGTGGGGGTCTTGATGTTTGATTATAAGGCATCGTAGCAGGTGTAGAAGCGGGTGTACTGGTGACACTGCCACTCTCATCACTATCATCTTCAGTAAAAAGTCCGCTTTGAGAGGCACGCTGCACCGGCTGAGAGCGAGATGATGACACTGGTTGAGGTAACGTAGTGGCGGAACTTTTTGGCTTGGCTCCAAACAGACCCTCATCTTCGTCGTCGCTGCTACTGTCAGAATATGTTGGGCGTTGAGGTGGCACGACAGTTGTGTGCATCGCCTTTGGAGTTGTCGCTTTTGATGGAGTAGATTGGAATAATCCAACCGTCTCATCATCACTGCTATCATCAGAGAAGTCAAGACGTCGAGATCGTTGAGCAGGCGGCAACTCGGATTCACCAGACGGCTTCCTTGTCGTTTTTGATGCGCTAGCTGGTCGTCCGAAGAGACCGCTCGTCGTGGACTCGACATCGCTGTCGCTTGAGCTATAATTGTTCGACTTTAGTATATTCGACTGTCGAGTCTTCGTATCGCCCATAGACGGCAAGCGAAAACCTTGTGGTGCTGCGTGTGTATCTGTTTTGCTTGCTTCTTTACTTTTTCCAAATAATTCACTATCATCTGACGATGAAGAATTAAACGAGTTTGATCGACGTGTCGATGGAAGTTTGCTACTGCGTCGACTGTCAGCCATTTGGTCGCCACCTGAGTGGGGAGGACGGTCGACCATATCGGTGGCAAAAACGCGCGATTTTGTGGACGGAGCTGAGCCAAATAATCCTGCGTCACTCTCTTCGTCGGAGCTTTCAAGATATTTCTTTCTTGCTGGTGTAGAAGCAGCAAACGGTGGTGGAGCCTCTCGATTAGCGGAACTTTGTTTGCGCTTTGACATTTTCTTGTCATCATCACTATCACTTGTCCAGTCACTATCGTCACTTTCGTCTTCATTAAACTCTGGACGTTGTCGTGAAGCCGGCGTAATAGCCGATTCCGAAACCGACGGGCGACCGAATAGACCACTTGTCGAACTTTCATCCGAGTCGACTCGTCGTCGAGAAGTTCTAGTCGATGGTGTACGTCCAAACAATCCGCTCGTGTCGCTCTCGTCGGAACTCGCACGTCGTCGCGGTTGTGCTGTAGTAAAAGAATGTTCCGATTCGTTAGAACTGGAACGATTGCGCGATGCCGAGCGGCTTTTTCCACCTGAATTTTCCGACTCGTTTTCCGAATCGGAACCCGAGTTGGAACTACTATAGGATGATACATAACTTGAGTCGCTATCACTGTCGGAATAATCTTCTGGTGCAGCACCAAGTCCTAGTGTCTCGTCTTCTAAGAATTCTCTTGTCCCAATAATAAATGGTAGTGGACGTTCATTATAAATGTCTAGAACCGTGTCAAACTGAGACGAAGTCTCACTCTTATCATCCTCATCGTCAATCATGACAAAAAGTTTCATGGCTTCCATTCCCATATCTAAAGCTGACCTATACTTGGTTACAATCGACTCGGCAGCTGACTTAGCACCATTCTCTTTTGTCTCTAAAACAGTCGCTGACTCACCCGCCTGTTCTTCTTTCTCTTTGTCGATCTCTTGCTTGTCCGTATTCGATTGTCCATCTTCCACACTGAAAAAATCTTCTTGTTCTTCATCGTAGACTCGATTTTCTATAAATTGATTGTTTGACAACATAAGAAATTCGTTAAATGTATTCTTCAGTCGAACGTGGGCTGAATCTGCCTCGGCTGCAATGTCCCGTACGCTATCTTCCAAGTTCTTTGTACGTGTGAATAAGTCAGCTGAGTATCGCTTAAGATATGAGTGGAGGTCATGGTCAGAATGTAATGTCCAAGTGGCGACTTCGTGAGCCAAATCCACTAATGTTTTCGTCTCAGGTGCCTTGGGTATGTTCGTATCAGATGGAATCTCATCAGGAGATAGAGCTGGTTGAAATTGATCTATTTCATCATCTGGAGGAGGTGGTGGGATCACTGTTAGCATACTTTCGAATGGTGAAGCGGCTTCAAGAGCCAGCATCTCGCTCATGATGCGGATTGAGATGAGGGGGCATGCAATGCACAGTTAAACGTATGTACAATACATCATTGTAGTCTCGTAAAATCAGGCAAATGACACTCATTACACAGAATAAAATACATATGCATCTAGCTAGATAATTACGTAATTTAGGCGAGTCCATGATTATCGTTCGTAAACATTATACTTGACGTGGACTCCATCAATTCGAGCAAAACGCACTTGCCGCTATGTTTTTATCGTCATGTTGGTTGTAGTGTCGCGCAGTAGAGTAAAACTACTGGCTCGCAGTGCCTTTGTCAGTACAATCACGAGCTGATTCGTGTCAGTGTAATCGATCTCAAAGCTCCCTGCTGCACGTTCCCTCTTTTCCGCTGCGCAGCCGCTGATCAAAGCAATCGCTTTTTTACTGTCTTCTCAAACGCGTATTCATCTCACAGCCCGCAAATTGTGCTTTTAGCATCATGCGCAGCCATAAAACTTCCTACTGAAAGCCAAGCCATCTTCGAGCGGAACTGTTTATTGTTTATATTAAGTTGATAGATATCTAAGCGCTCGCAGACATGATGATAGTCAAATGCCTGACAATTACACGTAGACGCTTCTAATTTCGAAAATATTCTCAAGATAACACTGTACTCGAAAGCAAATATTACACACAAAACGCATGCCGTATCTGCGGTATATATTCGAGCGCATCGCCGAATGTCTACTTCTCGATGTAGGCGATAGCAACAGAGACAAATTATGCGCACGAGCTGTCCACGCGATTGCAGCTCGTCGACCTTATCGTATAAGTATGTAAATAAAGTAGAAAGTCTATTCTATCGTATGTGCCATTGCAGATACGCTGTGTCCAAATTCATGCAGAAAATCTGCCTTGTTTGTATTTAAAAGGCAACTCGGAAGAAGTTCCTTTATTGGTGGATCTTGTAGGATGTTCTGCATAAGGCTATCATACTATTCAGGGATTCAGCAGTTTCTGCGAAGCGTAACGTAATTTTTTTAGACTTCTCTACCCATTAACCATCGTAGCGCAGGAAGTCAGCAGTTAAGAGGGGCTTTGCGTTGAGAAATCTTTGCTTATGCAATATCAACCTTCGAATAATGCGTGATTTCTGTGGCTGACAACCTCAAAGCTCTACTGAGCGAGGAGGCCGAAGTGCTCCCGCTTAATGCTATTATATCACCTCGCAGCGGAACTCACAGCAATGTCAATCTTCGCATAACGTTCTGGACCCGACTAAGGGAGCTCGCTTGCTCATCTTCATTCACAAGAATCGCGACGAAACTTGTCAATCGCATCACGTTGTGATTATATTAAAACCAATTCGGATTGTTTGACGCGCTGGGGTTTAGTCCTCACACGTTAATGGGCCTTTCACTCACACCAAGAGCAAAACGAGTACCAGGCGATTGCTTGAAGAGCGTTGATGGCCTCACGGGGTAACCTCCCCAATGGCACATCCTGCGCTAAGAGCAGCAGCGGTCGAGTAAGGCGTACCTTTAAAATGGCTGTACCTTGAGTACTGAGCCCTAGCATGAGTGCTGATGAGTATCCCACTCGATTTGTGAACAGCGCGATATAGACGCGATGTCGCAACCATACCATAGCTTCGCAAACCAACTTCGATGAAGCGGACGCCGGTTTAGTCGTCAAATAAGGCTAGACTTTGCAACATACTAAGTACGATGGGGACCTTGAGGTGTTAATCTATCACATTATTCTGTTGTGTTTGACAGTTCCACTCGTCTCCATGGGCCATTTGCTTTATTGATCAACATCTAACAAGTCTGGGAAACATGCTGCGGCAGGTGGACCTACCTCTTCTCCTAACAATAAAGGCGGAAGGAATTGGCGACGATAATCCTGCTGAAGCAGAATATGAAACTTGCATATCTTTGAAGTAGGATTACTCTATTAACTTTGATCAGATGCTGTATCAACCCTGGTGTATCCGCCATCCCACTCACCTCTTCACGTAGCTTTGAGCCGTCTTACTCATCGAGCAGTGCCGGCGGAGGATGAACCCTCCACGGCTGATTCTCGAGGACTTTCCGTTGCGGCATCACGTCGATTCTCTCTAGGAGTCTCGGCGTGTGCCCGAAACTGAAAAGGGGCAGATTTTGGCTGCGCTCCCTGAGCTGCACCATCACAGTGCGTGACTTGAGGAACCTCAGTGGCACTAGACGTGTCGCTGCCACACAAAGAGAACAAATAGAGCGCTTCGCGTTTGACTGGCTTGAAAGAGCGGGATCGCGATACGGCGTGAGCTAGACACAGGCTGTAATCTCATTGACTTTGGAATACTGGGGAGGTAACTCAATTCCTTTTCGCTACGACCATGAGCAGTCTAATCCAGCGTGATTACGAATAAGTCTTACAATCCGCAGGCTGGTAGGTCAAACAGCGCTATGTGAACCCCTTTACTTCTTTAAATAGTAAAATGCTGTTGCTTCAAAGTGATATCAGCAAGCCATTAAAACGTATCGTAAACCCCTAGCCCAACAAGATCGAAGCCACATTGTGTAGTGGTGTGAAGGACCCCGGAGATCGTCCAAACCATTCAGATGTAGCGTTCAAAGCCTATAGAAGCGTGTTCTAACTTACGCTATGCGAAATCAATCAATTCACTCATATACAACGGCCTTTTCGCGCGAGTAATATGAAATAAATTTCCCACCTTGTGGGAAAATGCATTCCGTTCGTACATGCAGACGAGCAAGCGGGCGCTTCAGTGAAGCAACATCTCCGCTTCCAAAAAAAATGTTTTTCGACACTTCCAGCATTGCAGCACATCGAATAGATGAGACAATTACGTGCATCTTACACCGTAAGCAGTACGTATTGCCTTGCCCATTGGCGATATCACAATCGTAACATGTGACAGGGCAACGGGAGAGTACATTAACCACCACATCAAGCCAAATCGGAGTACTCCTTTTCTTAACGGTTTATTCAGGGAAAATAATGACCGCCTTATCTTGCCATAGTCTCAGAGATATAAATTGAGGACGTTGCTGAGTGCAGCGATGCATGATGTGTAAAGGCTTAGAATCAAGCAACTGTAACTTAAATTATACTTCATGACAAAGAGCTGCTTGTGCAGTAATATGTACTTCATTTTCGCCATAAGCGTGTATTGATGTCTGTTTCGAGCAAAGCACAGCCCATGGAAAAGAGAAGACCGTCATTGAAGACATGAAACCGTTGATTTCGATTCAAAGAACTAATATCGGGGCACACATGAGGTAAACTTTGCACAGTCTCTTCTGCCTCACCCTTTCAGGAAATTTGTGAGGAGCCGGGCAATGTCGCCGTAATTTGCATCATAAACTTGCATGCGGTTGGCCAGGCCAACCCACTTCTTGAGGTACTTTGCGGTAGCGGCACTGGTCAATTCAAGATGGCTTTGACCTCGGCAGGGCTGCCCGCAAGTCATGCTTACCCACCTGGACTCGGGTCTTTTTGGCGCCGAATAATAAGTTGTGTATGTGGCGAACAGCTTACAAAAAGCATAATTTGAGCACTCTTCACAAAATTTTATGTGGTCCGCAACATCCGTCTCCCCATGCAATCACACTATAAACGAAAATAACGTCAACGTATGCTTGTGTATAGGCAAGATGTGACCTACACCACTGCGTCATTTGACATTGAATGTCGCTGGTGCGTTGGTCAGCCTTGTGGCGTAGCGAGCCAATTACAGAGCATTTTTCTTGATGTATATGAAAGAAGTCGCTGTCTTTTATGAGCAGCGAATAATAATTATGAGCTAGTCAAGAATGTCGTTCAACAGTCTTGATACGCAGGAATTCTTTCTTGGCTTTATTTAGCTTATGACAAACACGACAATTCGCCACTTGCCGATAGCCTTTCTGACACAGAAAGTCGGTGACGAATCGAAAAATTAAGTCTGTCTTTCAAAACTGACCTTGTGTCTCTTACGGATATAAGCGTCCATAACTTCACACTACTCCCTTGGTAAGAATTAATGACGTGCGGCGCAATATTTTGTTTCGAAACTACGACAATTATATGATGCGACTCTCGATGTCGGTAGGTCTATCCTCACCACATAGTCATGCTCCTTCAACATTGAATAAATATGATTTTTACTGTCGTTGAGTATAGCTGTTTCACTTCTCGCCAACGGTGATCAGCGAGTGTCCTGAACCACGAATTCCTAAAATGACGAGTTATAGGATCATATCCTTCTCCAGTATCAATCGGCTATGTTGGTGACTCCACCGTCTAAATTTTTTGCCAACATATTCCTAGGGAGAAATGTCAAGCTCAATAAGAGTTTTTGCCGGAGATAGTGATCGGGATACTCGTCACCTCTACAACTACCCCGGTCAACTCGTCTCCGAGTGAATAATCGTTTTCGCCACTGACCTGAAGAGATTCTTGACCTAGGAGACTACAACACAGTGTCTTACTTAATCGATTTGGCAAAGTAAACACCAGCTTATACCCGAAAATGAAGGTCATACCAGAAGTGCAATCCAGGGACTGTGACACATTTCTGTTCATTCCTGTTTCAGCAGGAATACACTCTCATCACCGCATTATACTACCGCTTTTTCTGTTTGTTTTGAAACCGCGGCTCACTGCCGCTATATACTTCGAGCTCTGCTTCAGGCTTTTAAAATATCTTTGTGTTAATTTCGGACAATCCCATGTTATACACCGAAGTTATTGTGGCTTTATGCCCACGTCGAAAGCACTCCTGCTCCCTTGCAGGGGTGATTTAAGACTCGCCAAAGCTTCATGAGGAGAGAAGCGCAAGGTTATTACTTATTTCGCTTAGAATCCCTCATTTGGCATACTTCTTTTACAAACGTACTACAGTAAATGCCCCATGCTGCGTGCAGCCTCCTAGTTTTGGCGCGGCGTGAAATCGATCCCTGAAGCATGACCACCATCATGCCCATCTCAGTTTCCCTATATTCTAAACCCTCGTCCGCAAAGGGCTGGACGCACGACATTATTGACCCCGCTGTGGGCGTCATTAGTGCACCAATTGTATTTAGGAAATGTATTTTGATTGCGTCAACAACTCAAGTCGTAAGTGCGTACCCCGTTACAAAAACAATAATAGCACTATTTTACACTTGTTGGTCTTGACTTTTGTCCAGTCAAAATCTATTCCCATACTTATGTGGTTGTTTTCGATCTAGTGTCGTTCGTTGCCCCTATCTTTACGACTAGAATCTCTCTACCACAGAGTAATCTTTTAAAAAACCACAAACTGACACACTTTAGTGTGTTTCAGATTCAGCATATACATAAATGCGATACAAACTTCGACAGCACACATAATTTCGATGCGCGATAATCTTAATAAATGTATACCGGAAAAAGAAAGTCAAGCATATTATGTGATGATTATGCTTGAAATGCGGTCATTTCAGCTGAGCTTTGAAGCCCTGCTTGTTGTTTGTGTGTTTGCTGATTGACTTGATCGCGCACCTGTGACGCTTTGTGCAAGAGTTGAATCATCTGTTCCTTTAAAACAGGATCTTCTTTTGTTCTTTCGCGACCTTGTACAACCATCGACGTTTCAACGTAGCTGCTCAATGGTACAAGATCAGAAGATGTGGTAGTGTTCGTGATTTGACCGCCCATTTGAAGAGCTGGCACAAGTTGAGAAGTTGCAGCCATGGCACGTGCAACTTTATTCTGAGCTTCTCGTCGCTCTTGCACCATAACCATAGCCAAGTGAGCCAAATTCTGCATTGTAGCAATTTGTGACTCCTGCAAAGACTCACGAGGAGCCGTATCCAACACACAGACGGCACCAACACATTCGTTATCTACTGTAAACAATGGTGCTCCAGCCAGAAATCGCACACCAAGCGGACCTGTTACAAATGGATTCGATTTGAAGCGTGGGTCCCGCAATGTGTCCATTACTACAAGCGGTCGCTGATCGCGTACGGGATACTCACAGAAACTAAAGTCACGTGGCACTTCAGACTCCTTGACATTCACTGCACTTTTAAACCATTGGCGATTCTCGTCCACTAGACTCACCACTGCGTACTTGCACGCAAGAGTTTGTGCTGCCAAATCACACAATGTGTCGTAAATATCCACCTGCTCTTCTGTCGATCCACCAACGCCCCTAGGTTGCACATCAAATCGTAGTCGATCCATCAAAGCATTGACCATACTTTTGCTCTCTTCGTCTCGTGCTGCCAGTTGTTGCAGCCAGGCGATTCCGACCAGATCCGGTACAGCAGATATCTGTGTGCCAGGAAGTGCCAATGCATACTCTTCCACTGCATCACGCAGGATACCGTTATCCACACCGTTTGGCAGCGTGATGCCGTTCGCCGTGACTCCATCTGTTGTAGCAGTCACGGTTGCAGCCGTGACATTGGTCGCTTGCTCACGATCAGCTGCGATGGTGGATGATCCGTCCATACAGGCTTTACACACACGTAGTGTTGTTAGTCCAACGGTTTGCAAGTCTACGTTTTTGTACACCGAACACGCGCGACAAATAATTTCGCCACATGCTCGACAATGGTGTTTACGTCGTGTATTTGTAAACGTCTTTAGGCATAAATGGCAACAAGCTCGATCTTTGTCATTGACCCATGTTGGGACTCGACGTTTTGTCAATTCTCTCGAAATTCGTCGTCGACTAATGGCTTCTTCAATCCCACCTACCGACTCTGCCCAATGTGCTAGCAACGCACGATTCCAGCGACGTTTCGAGCGTGCACCAGGAGGCTGTCGGATACTGCAGACAAATGTGGCTTCAACGACATTCTCGTCGTGATGAGGACGAAAGATAAAGCCACATTTGGACACACTCGCACGTTCAAGTTTATGCGACTCATACAGTGATGGACATTCAACTTGATCAATGGATTCGTATAGACATACGCCAATAGATGTGCCTGTTTGAGAGGAAGACAATTTCCTGCTGAAACTACTGTTTCCGTCTACAAATGCAGACGAGAGGACACCTGCGTACTCAAGAAAACACAAATCGACTCCCGCTTGTCCACCAATACTGGCCACACCCTTTTTAGTACGAGCTGCCATCCATTTGATACTTAAAGCCTCATATTCGTTTTGCTCTTTGTGAAAAAGCACGGCTGCGTCTGCAAAGAATTCTCGAAGCTGCAATTGCATGAGGGATCGAAAGTCAATTGTACTTTGTGCTAAAAATATATCCATTACATCATCTAAGGATGCGCGAACAGTTGATACTGCACGAATTGAGTACGTCAAACCACCTTTCTGTCGGTCTTCACACAGCTGCACACCTTTGCGCTCATGAATCATAGTCCATTCTACGTCAGGCTGACGTACCAAATCAGGCACGAGTGATCGTCCCCATGACAAGAGTTCTGCTTGATCATCTTCAGAAACATTGAGTGCTCTGAAAAACCCACTACGTAATGGTAGTGACCGCACCATGGCGAAGGAAGGATGAAAGACTTTACTTAGAAAAGTGCTGGTATATATTGAGGACGGACGACTGGCCCTATTGTTGTAAGGTTGTTTGGTAGGTTCTAAAAGACGATATCGGTTTCAAGAAGAGGCGATAGGGACGAGGCACTGTAAGTAATAGGAAGTCATATTGTATTGATGCCACAAAATGCTAGGTACATTTAGACAATTGTTTGAGTAATACAATTTTATGCGTCGCCCAGCCTTGTAAGAATGATGTACAGTTTCACGCACACGTAGCGTAATCTTAGCACTAGGTTACCCCTTGGTCTAAGAACACTAAACGTAGCAAAAATACATCTTTCGCCACCAGTTGCAAAGTCACCGACTTCAAGGAACGTAAACGCCAGAAGTGTAGCCACATTAGTTCGAGTGATACAGCAATTCCTGCGCTTTAATTACTACAATGTGTTGAGGGCACAGTCTAGCTCGCGATAAATCAAAGAGTGACAACTTTCATTGTGTAGCTGAGCTTCTACCTTTTTTGGGGATGGGAGCAGAATCATTCGTCATGAGCCAATCAATACACTTAAGTGTATCGTTTACTCTTTTATACTGTACATAACCGGTATACAGGTGCACAAACAGTCTTTTATTCTACAGTAAGAACTCCAATATCAATAATAACTTTAGATAACAGCAGGATTTCTCTCTAACAACGGCTGCTCTATCGATATACCGGTTCTCAACTTGCTTAAAGTGTGACATGCTACCGAACCGGGTCTCAGCACAGTGCCATTCGCGCCATCCGGTACACTGTACAAAGCCGGGTGTACGGTTTGAATTAAAACGACCATCACTCTAACGCGAGTCCCCCCATCCACGCAGCCCCCCCCGCCTCCCCCCATTTCGCACTCTGAAAGCCACGAGGAAATACTCACATTTGGTCTCGATAGATTTTTTATAGTGACAGCGTCTTCCCTCAATCGCGCGGGAAATCCCCACAGCCTCTTAATTCTCCATCGTAGCATTTCCGTAAATAATCTGTTTCTTCTTCTTCTTCTTCTTCTGGTCACTCACCACATTGTATTTGAATAGATACTTTAGTCATGTATACATCGTCCGCCCCTGGCCCAGCCCGCGGCCGCGGCGGTAACCCGAATGCGGGCGTGCCACCGCAGCAACAGCCGCAACAGCTTCGTGGTCCATCCCCTGGAAATCCTGGTGGTCCATCACAACTAGCTACAGCTGCTACTAGTCGCGTTGGAGAGATGTTGGACCAGGTCAAAGCTGAATATGAAGCTGCTATTCAACAGCTTAATATGGCCAAGATGGAACAGCTTGAAATGGAACGCAAAATTCAGTCACAGGTTGTGGAAATGGACCAGATTCAGCAATCGTTAAAGGCACTTGAAGCCAATCATCGTCGTATTCGACAACAATATGAAGAAGACATGATGCGTATGCGTCGACAGCTTGAAACGGGTCAAGTGCAGCAGCAAGTTGCGCCTCCACAGCAGCCAATGGCTGCTAAGCTACCAGCTAAGCGTTCACGCGCTTCACCTGCTACTGGTGGGATGCAGGATGAATCATCGTCGCTCATGTCAAACCTAGTAGCGGCTGCAACTTCTTCTCGTGCTGGATCTGCTAGTGCGCAACAGCGTGGAAATATCAGCTCTCCAGTGCGCGTTGTACCTGTGCAACCAGCTTCACGTAGTTTGCAGCAACTTGGCCAACAGCCTCCTCAGCTGCCACCTCCTCCACAGGGTGGCAACAGCAATCAACCTCCACAACTTAACCCACTGGATACGAATAGTACAAACATGACGCCGTCATCACGTCGTATGCCGAGTATCAATAGTGATATGAATGGCAAAGAACGAGCGGCAAATTCGCCTCCAGCACTGAAAAAGTCTAAGATTAATGGCTCGGAGACTAATATTCCCAGTTTGAACGGAAATGGAAAGAGTACACTTACTACTGTTAGCTCTTCTGGTGGAAGCACTTCAGCGACCAGTGGCATTCTTCCTCAAGTTTCCAAGATGAACCGAGATCAAGGATCTGCTAGTACAAACTCGAGTCCGAGTGCTGCTAGTGCAAACCAGTCGCAAAGTGCGTCTTCTAGCATTAAGAATGAAATTGAAAACAATGAGACGAGTCGTTCCATGTCTAATTCGACAACAACGATGTCGGCTGCTTCGGGTAACAACACGACGCAAAAAAGCTCGAATACGAAGGCCAGTCGTTTGAATTGGAGTTGTGTCTACTCGTCCAAGCAGAGCATGTCATACCAGGAGTCGGAGCGACCGGCTGCTGAGATGCATCAGTCTATGGATCACCAAAGTGTTGTCTGTTGCGTTCGCTTTTCATCCGATGGAACCATGATGGCATCCGGGTGTCACAAAACAGCGCAGGTTTTCGACGTCAAGACAGGAGATCGTAAATATTTAGTCTCGCGTCCCGCTGGATCGGGGCATACTCCAACGTCTCAAGCTAATACTGCAGCAAATGAACCTGATGATGCATACGTTCGTGCTGTGTGTTTCTCGCCGGATTGCACAAAGCTTGTGGCCGGCATGCCACAGAATACGATTCGTATCTGGGACATTGGCTCAAATGAGGAAGGTCTGGCCATGACTGGCCACGAGTCTGAGATTTACTCGCTGGACTATGTGAATGATTTGATTGTTTCTGGTTCCGGGGATCGCAAAGTACGTCTGTGGGATGCACGCAATGGTCAGTGTAAAAAGATTTTTGGTAATGAAAGCGGTGGTCCATCCGATGGTGTCACGTCAGTCGCGCTGTCACCAGACGGCCGATTACTTGCTGCTGCGTCACTAGACAAGGTCGTTCGGATTTGGGATACGGAAACTGCACAATTATTGGACCGACTAGAAGGCCATAGTGACTCGGTGTATTCGATAGCGTTCTCCCCTGATGGCAAGAATGTAATATCTGGCTCACTTGATCGCAATATTATGCTCTGGGACGTCTGTGCTCAAGGTCGCACAACCACACGGCCACGTATGTTGTTTCAAGGTCACAAAGACTTTGTGCTTTCGGTCGCTTATACACCGGATGGAAGGTGCGTCTTATGTCAAATGAAAGAATTTATGTATTTGTTTGATGCTAAAGGAGTGTTGCTGATATGGTTCTAGATGGTTAATGTCAGGCTCAAAGGATCGATCTGTGGTCTTTTGGGACCCACGGTCGTCTCGCTCTGTGTTGACATTGACAGGCTATCGAAATTCCGTCATCAGTGTGGCATCATCTCCAGCGTCTCCATACTTTGCAACGGGTAGTGGTGATTGCTTTGCCGTGATTTGGAAATATCAGTGCCAGACTTTTTAATCTATACACAAGCGATGATGGGAGTCAACGCGATGCATGAAGGCACTCAGCACAGTTTTTTATTATGACGTAGTAGCGGGTACTCTTGCAAGCGTGAGAACATAGGCATCGACATTGCTTGACTTTCGATGACCGACAGACATTAGGAAACACGCAGCTTTGAGGGTTTGCGCTGTGTAGCATGAGTGGTACGTTTACCTGAAGTGATTCAAAAAGAGCTGTAGTGCATATGCAATTGAGAGCTGTGTGTGTAGCCAGATAGGGGGTACATGTAGAACGGAACGTGCATAGATACATTTTGTGTCACTTGACTCCTATTTCTTCAATCATGACTTTTTATTTGATACTCTATTCTCGATATTAAACTTGGTGTATGATGTCCTCTACTGGTCGTTTGCTACCGCTTATCATAAGCTTAACAGCATCACGACATCATCGAGTCGTAAGTAAATGTAATATACGCGTGTTATGCCGTCGAAACCATTCAGAATCTCGATCCAAAGTTCCGGACGCTTTGAGCGAGCCTGAAATGGTACGACGTTTAATGCGCAGTCAACGCGTTTGGTGGTGGATGGGAGGAATTGTACTGAGTAGTGTAGGACTCGTGGCTTTCGGACCGGAACTTAAGCTTGGTATGAGCAAACACACGGCGGAAGTAGCATCGCGTTCGCTACAGGACAAGACACTACGAGATAATTCACGAGAACTCGCTTCCCAGATTGTCCAGACGGTCTTAAATGATCATCAAGTCCTAACTCAAGCCTCTCAATTTCTACAACGGGTAAGACCAAAGATCAAGATATCAAATGTATTTCTTATGTCGTTATTTTCTTGTAGCTTGTCGAGATGGAATCAACACGTGAAGGTCTGAGAATGTTAGTGATCCAGACGCTTAATAATCCCATGACAAGAACTCATGTGGTAGACTTGACAAAACACACGATTGGTTCTCTTTTGAAAGATCCAAAGACAATGCGTCAAGTGGTCGATCTTTTACATTTTGCAGTTGTCGATCCACAGACAAAAGAAGCATTAAGTCAATTGCTGGAGCAGATTATGCACGATGAAAAGATGCGCGCGGCTTTGACGCAATTAATGACAGACATATTCATGCAAGAGATTGTCAAGGAGACCGTCAGTAAGACACTTGGCGACTCTGTGCACGATGTCTTAAGTCGTAAAGATGTTGAAAATCATGCCAAAGAATTTGTCAGTCGCGTTGTACAAGATCAGACCGTACAAGCTCAAAGTGGTGATGCAATCTGGGGAACAGTTATGTACGCATTGACCCCAACTTGGTTGTCATGGGTATGGACACATCCAGAAGACATGACGAACGAGAATCGAACGCCAAGTCCTGCTGAAGTGGCAAAAGTGATGGTTGCAGTTGCTGCAGCGGAAGATGCCATTGAAAAGAACGAGCAAGACAAACACAATCAAGTTGAAAAGCCACAAGAGACAACATGGTTGTGGAAGCGTATTTTTCAATGGATCAAACCATCTTTGAGTAGCGAAACACAGCCTTCCGAAAGCAATTCGTCGACAAATGTCTTGCAAGAAAGTAAAGAACCAACGTCGTTGACTGCATCATCACATGCGGATGCGAAACCATAGGATAAAGATGACGACAGAAATTGTTCTAATGACTGGCTTGATCACACTTGCCTCCATTCTTGATCGTTAGCATTAAAAACGACCGTAAACAAGTGAATCAAGCCGATGTACTTGTGTACGCAATTCGTTGTTTTGATGTTTAAGTCGTAGCTTTTCACTTGCAACGAGTTGCTTTTCTTCATATGCAATGCTCAATTGTTGCTCCAATTGTGTTGCAGCAGCCTCGGCAGCTTGTGCTGCACGTCTCCATGCATCAAGCTCACGTCGAGTGGTTCGATATTCATGTATTGTATGTTGATGCTCTGCTGCTGCCACTTGTGCGGCATCTCGTAGCGTCTGAATCTCTTGCAGTAGCTCTCGTTCACGTGTTTTAGCTTGTGCATTTTCGAGCTCAAGCTTGCGTAGTGCTGCTTCCACACGTTGAAGGATATGTAGCTCGGCTTGTGATGACTCGTCTTCTTCATGTACTCTAGAGCTTCGATTCACAACGTTATCATGCTGCTGCATTCGTCGATATACAGAACGTTCTTGAGAAGATGTAGTGACTTCTGCTTCGCTCGAAGACGTTTTGCTTCTCTCATTCAGCTCATTCGTGTTAGCTGATTCTTCGTCATCTTGGCTAGTTTCTGGCTTCATGTCATCGAGTTTAATACTGTGCGATAAGATTCTGCAACGTATAGAACGGTGAGATATATTGCTATCGGAAGAAGAGGAGTAGTATGGGCTGTTAAGTTGAGAGTAACCAGATCGTTTCCAAGCAGTCAGCGGTATTGTTGTTGACTTGGATGAAATAGATGAAAGCGGTGACACTGGCGGATCAATACCTTCATAATCGTCAGCAGGTGAACAGCTGGAAGAATCGATAGTGTAGTCCAAGTCACTGATAGTAGCCGTTGGCTGAGTCTCATCACAGCATCGACTAGTGACTGCTGGTGAATGACAAGAGGTAGAAGAGGAACTGGAGCGATCATCCTGACTCAACGAGCAAACGTCTTTCTTTAGCTCCAAACGTCTCGTTCTAGACTTTGGAAGCTCTGAGAGATTCGAATGAAATGAAGAGAGTGGTGCAATATGTACATCTTCTAATCTCGTCGCTATGGTATCAGGTTCATGCTGTTGATACTTTTGTTGTAGACGTCGCACTTGTGCGATCCAGTACTGACATTGGGTAGCAGACGATGCCATAAGTTGTTGTTTCACTACATCTCGTTTCATAATTGCTATTGACACGTAATGTACCAGATTGCATCGTGTTTTGTTCTTTTCCGCTACAATCTCAATTAGCTCCGTGGCTACGTCAATCGTGACAATCTCCACTTCATCGTTCCCATCCTGCTTTTCACCTCGTGTCTGCAAAAGCAGCAAATGTCTTCCATCACGAACGACAAGTGTACAAGTACATGGTCTCCACTCAAACAACTTTGTCTCGGCATTGCGTACTTTTCGCTTCAATCGAACTTCCACACACTCAGCAATACTTTCCATTGTCATCTAAGAAACCTGCTCGTTTATGGCGTCGCGTGGAACTATATACAAACTCGACTCAACGCCTGGTCTAAGTTAAGAAGCTTTAGTTTATTTCTGTACGAAGAAAGAAATCTATTACGTTCCAGCGTTGGAACTAGTGATCATCAAAATTTGAGCAACAGATCGAATCTTACTCTAACCTTTTATTTGATAGTCCTGTCAAAAGTCCCAAGTCTTGTTGATTGCCTTGTCCGACGACAATCGAAAGTTCCGAATCATGAAACGAGTGGACGTTTAATCTCGACGGATATAAAACAAAACATACGCTTTCGACGATACAGCAGCATCTGGTGTCGTCGCGCTAGTTTGACTGTCATTAAAGTCAAACCATTGCTTGGTCTCTGGATTTTTCGCCACAGCCGTATAATGTCCACCCCCTAGACCACCGACGTGTTCCGAGACGGCGTAGAGATCATACAATGGCTTTGAATCTTTTCCTGGTCCGATTACAAATGCCGAGAGATCCAAACTTTCAGTAGGAAAGTCGACAAGGGATGAAATCTTGTCTCGATGCATGTAAAATGAATTTTGTGCATATCGAAAGCGTTTGAGATGAAAGATCAATACTTTCGGTAGAGAATACAGATCAAACTTCTTGAATGCACGCACGTGAGTCTTGCATTTTGGACAATACCATGTATCGGCTTCTCCAAGTTGTTCACGTTCAGTGAATTTACTTAAGCAATCAAACAGTGTTAAAGGATCCGTTTCTGTTGAAATGGTCAAATGTTTCATTGACTCGTGTGGCTCAATTCGCTTAGCTGACGTCTCATCGTACCCACGCTGATATCTAATGAACATCTTACGTTTATAACACTTCATCAATATAACCGTAACAATATCAATAAACTTACCCATAACGATTCCACTCCAACGTTAAGCTAAAAGGACGTTTTCTAAACACATTCCATGGCTCCGAATCACTCGAAAGATCACTCATGTACGTCATTCTATCACTTGCTTCAGTCACATGAAGACGATACGGTACTTGCTGATCTTTCTTACATCCTACTTGATTCTCAGACAGATCACTTGCTTCTGTAGCTACAAGACGATGAACGACTTGCCATACTTTATCATGAACTTGAGCCTTCGTCGATTTCCGTTGAATGGAGACTAAAAGTGGTAAATTAAACCATTTCACCTCAACGCGTCGTTGTTTGTAATTGTTGTCTTCAAACGTATCGTACCTTTCGTCAATTGTACGTCCATCAACTGGTGATGCCACTGGCGCTTGATGGAGTAATTCTACAAGTTCAAACTCCTTTTTCGTTTCATCTTGTAATTCCAATGTCTCTAATCGTTGTGCTTCAGTATGTGGACGAATCGTAGATGACGAGAACGAATACTTTGTCACAGGTTTTTCCAATTCATATGCATGTAAAATGTGATCACGTACTCGTTCTATTGACATTTTATCTGCATACGGTCGTACAATGCGATGGCGCCAAACTTCGACGAAATAAATGCGTTCCATTGGAACTTTCGAGAGTTCACTTAATTTTTCTTTTGCTGTCAAGATACTACATCCTTCTTTTGGTAGACATAATGCATATTGCGTTGGAATGTCACCATTTGCCCAAAAGAGCTGCACTTGAACACGCACTGTTTCGTTACTTGGAATTGGTACAGATAGATTCATATATGGATCAAATGTAATCGATTCATTCCCACAATTAGCATTCGAACACGTCACATGACTTCGAAGTTGACCCATAAAGTTCTCAACAATTACACTATCATTCCGTCGAAGAAATTGATGCCACTCTTCTCGTGCTACTTCTGAATCTGTGCGTCCATTTCGTTCCACAGGTTCAGTATATGGTTTTGATTTCACACGATTCAAATCTTCATGAAGTCCATCAAGCAAGAAATTCATTAATTCTTGACTATCTTGTTGTTGATATCCTGCAAATTGAGGTGCATACTGTCCAATGACTGACTTGAGTTTTGTTGGCGTCACAACTCGAAACTCATTACTCCACATTTTACGTAAAAGACTAGCAAATTCTACTGCCATCATTCCACTCATTCCAAGTGGATTATCCCGATTTATCTCTTTAGTAAAAAATGGATGACCTGACGTTGGATCTTTTCGTAAGAAATATTCACGTAAAGGTGCAGTATTGATTAAACACTGTAACATGCTGTTCATAAAGCACGTATTGCCTAAATTCACAAGTCCAACGACACCAGCAACGGCTGGACGACCGCGTCCGATTTCATCTCGTCCGTATCGACTGTACGATGACACAAGAGAATGCGATTGTACATTTGAAGTCATAAATTTTGAGCTGTTCACAGCTTTGTGTGTCCCAACTGGACATAACATTTCATCTTGTGCATCCATCCAGACTTTCATACCATCAACTTCGAGTTGAATTCGCAAGGAATTAGTTAATTCTTTCTCCACATCTATCACACGAGCAATTCGCCATTCGGGAAATGGTTTTTCTTTCACTTCTGATCCAACAAGAATTTTATCGTCTATTTGAAAATCTCGCCAATTTTGAACTTTGGTATGTAGTGGTGCTAATCGTGAAGATAAACGATCAATCCATTCATCCCATTTGGACGTCCAACCACGATAATGTACTTTCACGTGATTTGCTTTTAAGTCTACAATTCGAGATTCATACCATTTGTTATCAGTATCCATTGCATCAATTAATTGACCACTTTCAAGTGTAAAACGCCATGCTTCAGCTAGAATTTGACTATAAAAACGATTGTGTCGCCAATCACGCGAATTCTCCTTCGACTCAAAACGTCCTTCAACTAATAATTGATGTACTCGCACATTTCCACTTTTCAACTCTTGTTGATTCAATTCTAAATGTTCAACTCGTATACTTTCCAAAATAAGTTCTGGATTTTGAGCAAGTTGAAAGCCCGTAAATGTTTGATCTGTTTGTACACGTACATCCTTGAACGACTTCCAAAGTGACTGTTCATCCACTCGATAACATACTTGTAAAGCTGTACTCACACTTTCTTCCTGAATGTCTGCAAACATAGTCGAAAGTTGAGATTTAGAAGCAATTTGCCATATTTTTAATTGTAACTCTTTTAAAGAACACGATTGACTTGCTGTTAGTATCAATGGTTTCTTCTCATCGTCAAATAGTTCACAAGGTTCGCTTAATCCTGAACGCCATCCAAATATCTACAAAAAGGGATTAAATTCTCATTTACTAAGACATCAAATAAAATACTTTACCTCAAACGTAATAGGATGTACTTCGACTAGTAAAGTATTAGAAAGTCTTTGAGTGATAACAAGTCGTGGAATTTCCCAATCATATCCAAAAGAATCCACAAGTTGTTTCCATACTCGTTGACTAACAAGACGATAATCTTGACCTTCCATCTATATAATAAAATGATCAAATAAAGACATTAAATAGAAAAAACGTTACTATAATACACATACCAACATCGGTTGAAGGACTGTAATCTGATGTTTCTTATCACTTCGATCAAGATCTAACAAACACGCATTTTGTATCTCCAAGAAACTTTTGTCATGTCGTTGAACATCATTCCGATCGAAATTGTTGCTTGAATATGTACCAAAGACACGTATCCACCATCTAGAAGATACAAGATACCATGTATCACCTTCATGTAAACGATCTTCACCAACTTGACGTTCTAGTGTCTCTGCTAGACGTTCTAATGTCATGTCTTGCCTACGCTCCATACTGTTCCTGTCGTTTAAGTGTTCGTTTCCTCGTTGTACCGTACAATTGGTACGTGACAGGGAATAGGGTAAGTGTTTTTGTACGCTAAAAATGGCTACATTAAATCAATACGTACAAGCCTCTTATCGTGCGTTCAAATCCTCACTTTCTGACTCTCTCCCATCATGTCTTCTAACGTCTCGGTTTATGATGCAACGATCACTACATTCAACCCTCAAGTATTTGATTTGTATATCTTAGCACAGAGTTGGCAACCAACGTTTTGTTCTGGAAAAGAAGCTCAATATCCTGGTTGTCGTAACCCTGAAACATATTGGGAAACTCATTTAACACTTCATGGTTTATGGCCTGAAGAATCGAATCATGTACCTCCAAGTTTTTGTTCTCGTGAAGCATTTGATGCGAAATTGATTGAACATACAATTGGAATGAAGACATTACATGAATTTTGGCCTGATGTTAAAGTTTCGGAAACTTCGGACGAATATGCCGAGTTTTGGAAACATGAATGGACTCGACATGGTACATGTTCAGGTTTAAGTCAAGTTGATTACTTTACTCAAGCTATAAATCTCGAAAGGAATGACACGCTTGCACCAACTCCTGAATTTGTACAACAACATGTTGGAAAAGAAGTGAATGTGAATGAGTTACGTCAAGCATTTGGTGACGCTGCTTTGAAATGTCAACATTCACACACTCATTCAATCATGTTCTCACAAGTTTTTACATGCTGGCAAAAGAATGCACAGAATATTCCAACGCATCGCTGTGTATGTCCACCACATATTCATGCTGAAGACACGTGTGGATCAACTACCATCTTGATTCCATCTTTTTCTACGGACGATTAATAACGTCCGATCATCACAAACGGATGCTAACTCCTTCATGACAGTAGATCCGTTGAGCGTTGTATAGTCGATTTTTAAACATAGAAGATTAAGATTCGATTGTACGTTGTAAACGATCGTTGCATCTGTTGTTACTAGCGTCTTATTGCGTGGATATGTTCACTAGATATTCTTCTACGTTTCTAAACAAGACAAAAGGTGTGTTGAAACGCGTGTTTATTCATATTGCGTGAATTTCTTACAACCCTCCACTTCTTCGTGTCGTTAACATATCCTTCTCATACTCAACATTATGATACTAAACAATACACAAACACCTCTGTCGTTCTAACACATAGAAGCTCGTACGAGTGAAATATGCAGCGGTGGAAGTACTGCAGTCGATGTTGCTACTGTCACAGGAGAGACACTTCGTTGTTGAGTATAATAAGATGCACGATACGAGACATTGTCGGATATTGTAAGCTTTGGAAGTTTGCACATGACTGGTGAGATCGCTGACGTTAAAGTCTCGTTTGTTACTCCAGTCAATCGTGGAGTGAAAAGTGCTGATTGGACCTGGTTTTGAAAGCCGTAAAAAGTCGATCGAGCGTCTTCGTATGTTTGTGGTTGTTGTTGTGTACGTACGACACTATTAATGTCATCGTAACTACGTTTCCGATCACTAGAAGTCAAAGGTTTGGGACTTTGATGCATCTTGATCGTCTGATCTCGTAACCCTTGACTTTCAATCACATGTTCTTCATCTTCAATACTTTGTAAAAAAGCATGACGAAGAGTTCGAAGATGGTGTGCAGCAGTTTCTTTAAAATGTGCTGCAGCAAGTGAATCTTGAGCACGTGGATAGTAAGCTCGTCGTCCAATCTTTGGATTGATTTTAATTCCAGCAAAGACTGAACCAGGTAGTAACTTTTTCGAAATTCGCATTGGATCACAATGAAGTTGTTGTGCTAAGTAGCCACGTAAGGTTGTTCCATATTGAATGGCTAGAACCCCATCACAAAAGTACGAGATTGTAGCTGCCGCATAATCTTCTTCTGCTCGTGTCCATTTTCCACGTCGTAATGGACCAGTTAAGGTCAGATCAACTGGATCGGAGATAGTGACGGGTATTGTCATCCGTGGTGTTTGCTGTCTTTGAAGCGAATGATGCGATGTTCGTAAGGAAGGTAAAAGAGGAAGTTGATGGTGCTGAAGTGATGGTAAATGAGTCAACGACATGGTTTTGCTTCTCAGTCGGAGTTTTTCGAAACTGAACAAATTGACAAATGAGCTTTAGCTCGCGACTTGAATGACACGGCGCTTCGTGCTCATCTCTTTCCGAACTCACTCTCGAGTCTATCTTTCACCCACCTCCACAAGCAGAAGGAGCTGACCACTGTCGTCCTGATGTTTGTAAAACCGCATGTTCAGAACGGATGATGTCACGCCGAGCAGTTGATGAGTGCAGGCCAGTGAGTGGTTTAAACGGCTTTTTTTCGCTTGAACAAAGCCATTGACAATCTAGTCGTACCATTTACACAGATTGAACCGTTTGAGCCCCTGCTTTCTACATTCCATGTACGTGCTCAACTTGAGTTTAAAACGTTAGGACCAGAGAGGCCAGAAGAGGAAGAAAAGAGACGTGAAAGTCACAGATACGGTCTCATTCGACTTGTCTCTTCTACATGGGAGAAATCTCAAGTCCCGCGCTAATAGGAGAAGAAAGAGACCGTATGCATTGACTTGTGCATGTGCTAATCTCATTGGAAAGCCACCGCGCGACGGCTCAACGCCTAAGGTGTCGTGTCTACCTCACTTCGCCGCGTTGACGAACCAGGTGTTCAAGTGTTGAACAACTAGGCCTCAAGTACAGCAGCTTGAATACAAATCTTTCTCACGTGATAGCAGAACAGACTTTGTTTCAAGAGTGGCTACGATGACACAGACTTCAGCTTTTTTCAGCTGCGTCGGACCACTAGAATACCTGTGGTCTTTTCAAAACCAGAACGCGTGAAAAAGAGACTTGCGTGGGCACTGGACCATCAAGATAGGCGTGCTTATGTTTCTGCCGTCAGACTTTGAGATGAGAGACTTAAATTCTCATGCAATTGACTACAGAAGGAGGAGCAAGTGAACGAATTATCTCGAAAGACGGAATAGCAAGTGAAAATCTGAACTTGTGGTCAAGGGTGCGCACCCATACGAAGACTTGATCACTTAGTCGATAGAGAATGACGAGATGATGCCGAAGATATTGAGATCGTAATCATGTTTGTGCTTATGCGTTGATTTCTTAGCAGATGGAGAGAGAATGAGTTTCTTACGACATACCATGTGGACAGAACCAAATGTGTTGAAAACGACAGTTGGACGTATGTGAACTTGTGAGACTAGATGTGTGGTGGAGGATGATATTTGACAAGATTTGTTTTGGCAAATGGCTTAGAAATAAAGAAGGTTACTGAGGTTATGAAAGTTTGCTTTTCATCTTCATCTTACTTGATTCATGATAACAGGATTGCGACATTCTCTATATCGCACTACAATCCTCGATCGACATTCGACGTAGCGGCTTGTCTGGGATCAGCTGCGTGGGCGTATTTTTTTCGAAGCTGTCTCGATAGAAAACATTGAGTACGTCTCTGTGTATCTCGAGGAGGGAATAGGGGTACACTCAACCCTTATTTATGGGTAGGAATAAAAATTGAGATACCATCGACGTCCACTTATTGTCTAAGGTTTCGCTCGTTATTGTTAAAAGTCTTTCGAGGTAGTTTACTCATAAGAATTATGTGATAGAATGACAACAAGAATAGTCCATAGTAAGGATATGACACGTTTAGTATGAGGCATAATTGGATACTAAGACACGAAGCAGTAATGCTTGATGGTTCAAGTCGTCGGAGACTACCGCTTTGGATTGTGGAACAATAAATTCTAGATCAAGAAATCCTTTCAAGAGTAATATTTGTAAAAAATACGATACTAAGCTGTATACTGTGATGGGTTCTTGCTTCAAATCAGTCTTCTGAAATTATTTTCTAAAACCTTCCAAGCAGCTGGTTCCACGTCAGTGCTTTTCGAAAAGGACCAAACAAAATAGCGAGGACTTAAAGTCATTGGAAATACAAGTGTGATGGGAAAGAATCCTATCTTTGTAAAAAATATGGTTGATGGGCTTTTTCGAATGTCGAGACGCTCATTCCATATATATGCGGAGTTGTCTAGTGATGAGTGATGCCCGAATTTATTGGAACGAGCCCTATTCACTCTTTTAGCAGTTGTTTATTGTCTCTTTGATCTGCTTCATGAGCTGCAGGAACGCAGGTGTCATGTAGAAATCTTTCGCATTGAAAGACAGGCGGGTCAATGGATTTGAAATGCTGTGCTCTATAAGCAAATTTTACTTAGAATTTATTGAGTTGTACGATTGACATGTGAACCATATTCAAGACAAATTCGAGAAACAATAGTCGTAGCCATATAGCGACAAGTTATACCTTTCAATGATTTTTTTCTTCCACATTTCGATTGAGCGAAATATTTGAGAATCATCAGATATTTCAATTGAGTTTAGAACTTTTTTATATTGCAGTCAGAAACAGGCAATGGCGAAGTGCAGAAACACTTTGCAGTCTAAAGTTCGATACATTCGTTAGTGTGTTTCCTTATATATGTGAACTTAGATTTTCAGGGATAGAAGATAATTCGACTCTTACGAAAAGGATTCACTCAATTGCTAGACTTGTTTTTATCACTTATGGTCACTACGTCCACAATTAATTGGTAAAATGCTTCGATCGTCAAGTGGTCCACATTTATAGACCATATTGTCATTTCTTGAGCTTACAATAGCCTAGCAAAATATGCTGCTCCACTACTTGAGAATCATGACCAATGCGTTGTGTGGCTCTTTTTCATTGTAGAGATGAGTGTTTGCGTTTTTGATGCTGAGTCGAATGACCATACCTTGCTACTATTGTACACGAAACCACAGCAGTACTTAAAGCCGGCAAGGTATGATGATAGCGTATTTTAACAAAGAGAGAAGGTCAAGTGATTCCACTGATGATTCTATTGGTGTGTGAGAGCGAACTTAGAGAGTTTATAAGTAATTTTGTAATCTTTTAGATGGGTGGAGTGCTGTTGACAAGCTGCCCAGTCTAGACTAGGCTCATCGCACAACAACGAGCCAGCCAAGTGGCCAGACGGTGAAGAGAAGAGGGTGGACTTGCTGTAACGTAATTAATTATGGTGCACATACACATTACACTATTGTCTCATGGACTTTAAGGAAAACTCATCTGCATGATGATGGAGGGTGTTATGGTGACTCTGCGAAGGAGATGCTCATGGGACGCTGAAGCTGCTAGCTTCACGCTATGCATTACACAACTTTTGCTGCGATAAACATTGTACAACACAAGAGGTGGTATCATATTAAACTATATTCACTTCAGCTATATTACACTTTGATTATCACAGAAGAAGTACTTGTTACTTGAGAATCCTCAGTAATGAATAACTTCGTGTCTTTTGATATACGTGCACCTTACACTAATATCGCGATTCAATGGGGACTAGCGTGACTGTAGAGTACTCGGATGTTGAGGTGTGGATTAAGAGCGTCACTTTGTCATTTCCTATGGAGAAAACCTCGGCTGACCCGCCATAAAGGCATTGAATGGTGTCGCCGCGGGCTTTGAAAGGCTCGTAAATCCATACGCTTCGCAGACTAACTAAGATGATATCCGAAGGAATAAACTTCTAAGAGCTGGTAATTGTAAGTGTAGTCAGGGAAGCATATTTCTTGTGCATTCGTACTCGAAGCGTGATGTCTTGTAAGAAGACGTCGTGGTGGTGACCTTAGTCAGGATCTCATTTAGGTCGCGGACGGCGTGACGGGATGTGAATTCTATTATGATGTATGAGCGTATTGCACTGTTGTCTCTCGGACTTAAAAAAGCAAACTATATAAGCTACAAGCTGGAGGAACATGATGAAGTATCTTGTCTAGTACTCAGTACGAATGATCACGATGGAATTTAATTGAGAAGAGGCCCGTGGAACAAGTCGACTGTAAGTCTCATGCTAGACTGTACACATGCTTTTATCATGACAGAATGCATATAGATACTTTTGGTACCAGCTGGAAAATGTATGCCACTCTTAAATAAAGATTAACTAGTGATTAGACAGGTTCTCGCCGAGTTGCATACTCTGTGCGTTTTCAACACAGACCTTAAGAGCGAATGCTTCCTCGTGCGCGACGCGCGGCGAATATGTAGACAGGTCAATGCTCTGGGTCTTGAGCGCGAAATTTACCTCAAGCAACGCTACGTTGAGCTAGCCATAAGTTTTCTATTGTTACCAGCGCGGAAGCTGTTTGAAGCGAGGCAAAATGAGTTCCCTTCCCCGCAAATCGCCTTTACTGTGGTTCACAAGTAATTGGAATGAACACGCTCGGAAAAAATACGATTGTTTCACTTGTCACAACTTATTGTTGTAGGCCAAATCAAGCATCATGACAAGGCAGCGCGACGCTAACCGCATCGTCAAGACAAAGATCTTAAACGAAGCTTAAGCCAAGTGCTTGCTATCAGGCTTTTTTCGCGGCTATAAACTCATTTTTCATCATCATGGTAGCCTTTTTTCTCTAGCGTTTAGCTGTGCCGTAAGGTTAAGCTATTACACCCGCTTCGAAATTTGTGTCAATCTGTGTTGTGAGCGCATAAAGCAATCCGTTTTCTTAGATTGCTCGTTTTATTTCTGTGTCACAGCAATCACGGGTCGAAGCGCTGCAGAGTTTATTGTATTCAATATGGCGCGACTGTGAAACAATGTACATTAACTCATTCATTTTATCCAATCCAGTGACAGCTTAATTTTTATATCTTCATTCATATTAATCGTGTACTAGGTTTTATACGATGTGTAAGCAGATTCCAAAATTCGTCTCATATGCTACAAACCCAAACGAACTGCAACTTGGTAGTACTGACTTTCACTTCTTTTGCCAACAGCGACATACATTGCTCAAGTTTCCAAGTCATATCCCATGAGAACGAACAGCGGCATTATACCGAAATGCCGTTCCTTACTCGGTGGTCACACGATTGCCCACAATTACTTCAAAGTTCTTTGCCAGATTTGTTTGATCCGTTACAAATTTGAAACTGCAAATATTGTGTTAGATTGTGGAGTTAAGGTGACGTCACTTTGGTTGAGGTGAGGTGAGCCTCAGAGACCCTATTGTCGAAATGAACGATGAATTAGTCATAAATGTGGTGAAGCGGTAAGTCAGAAACGATGTTGGCTTAACTTATGGATATTGACATTACCATCTGAAAGTCAGGTATAAATTTGTGAGGCAACGATTCATTAGATGCTTCGTTAACTCGAGTGAGAGTCAAATAAACGTAGCGCTGGAGTATTTGCATGTATTCCAAGCTTATTAGATTGCTTTATCATGTCGAAACGACGCTAAAGATCTGTGGTGAGCATCTTGTGCCGCTGGACACTACGAAAGTTTGTTCCGTGATAACTGTGTTATGAGTTACATATTAGAGCACGCCAAGGAGATTAAACGACTCATAGTTCAATTCAGCTGCCCGATATGTCCTTGCATCCTTAATTTTTCACTTTGTTGTGTATACCTGAAACGAGAGTTTTCTCGGCAGCAAAATTCTAATGAAACAAAATTGCGAATTGTAGATTTAGTGTGAATGTGAATGTTAACTGTGATTAGGTACTGTGAGTCGTTGCAATTCTTCACCTATTCACCACTATGGTGTCGTTTCAGCGTCTGCTCTACGCTAAACGACCTCCAAAACTAAGGCCAAAATTTTGACAGCCAGCGGGAGTAAATGGTACGATACTGTATACAAATCTAAGGCGATAGTCTTGCGTCGTCGTCTTCGTGTGGTCTGACTATATGATATAAATTCGTTTGGGGATCATTGCTCTCTCGCAACTTAAGGTTTTTAAGCTTATCAATTGTTTATTGAATGTGGATTCTCACAAAAATTTATGCTTGCCTTCAATTAATGTTTACAAAAAGTTACAAATATTTTAGTCTATTAACATTATTTTCTCTCTTACTTTTTACATTTGATATTGATTCATGTAAAGAAATTTTTTGATGGGGCACTGAAAACTCGTCCGTTCGTTATTTTGCAGCGAAGTGAGGGCTGTTCGCATTACCAAAGAGAAGCCTACGATACGGACAAATGGATGGCGTAATATAGGTTCTAATCACATCAACCACGACTTAGTGTCGGTGTGCCGCTGAAGAAAATAGTTAAGATACCGATCTCAGTATATGTTCTGGAACACTGATGACGTCACACTGATTACAAGAGAGCTCACAACCAATGTCATTATTATGGATATATAAAATTGAAGTTTGTTGATCATTGGCCTCAGATTACATTTGGTAGGTTTTAAATAAGCACATGGTTCCAAACTCAGGTCCTAAATAAAAATTCACTTCGGTGTTTTACAACTAGTTGACATCTTAAAGGCCGCATTTAAGGCTTTCTTTACAGCGATAGTTGTGCCCATTATGGCGAAGAAGTCAATATACCGCTGGAAGATCATTATGGGAATAGATTCGAAGAGATAGGGTCCACTGGAATACGCCATGACCATCAAGGACAAAAGCGATATCACGAGCTTTGTCAACCACGCATATGCAATGCTTGTTATTGTGCAAGGCGTTGAGATTCAGTATCAGACCAACATACGCTCGGTCAAAAGCGCAACGTAGGTAATGGAGATACTACAGTAGTTTCACACTCGCTTTGCCATTCAGTTTTTTTCGCTACCTCAAGGCGGAGAGTGGTACTTTTGTGACGTAGCAACTGGACTCTTTTACAGAGCTGATTGTAAGAATCCCGACAGGCAAAAAGCCGGTTCATGAGTTGTGTCAGCTGGCTGTACTTCTCAGCAGTCCGCCGTCGAAGTATGATTTACCACATATATTTTATGAAATGTAAAGACATTACGCTGATAGCAGCGAAAAAAGCTGCTCAAATATCAGACAAGCTCACAGATAACGTACGGAGAAATACTTTGCGTAAATAGGAATGCTGAAAGAATCCAAAGGTGAACGAAACCACGAGTGGGAAGGTGGCGACAGTGGCAGATTATAAGGCATGTGTATAAATTGCATTTAGCTTGGTCACATGGAGTGAATTCGCTCAGCTAGATATTGGAACAGCAGCGATGAGGCCGTATTTGCAATGGGCGAAGGATGATCAACAGGATGTCTTATCGACAGTGGCGCTACACCCGACATGACCCCGCACTGGTGAGTCCCGAGAGCTTTTATCAAGCATCAAAATAATGATTGTAGATGACAGAGAAGATGACACGGTAGAATGACCGATTTGGGTGGGAAAAAATATGCATACCGGGGTTTCCAAGACTTGGTAATAGTTTCTGTATAATGTCCTTGAGCAATGCGAAATTTGCGCTCGTCACGTGTTGCCTGAAGTTAAGATCAAAATATTGCATCGAATTACAAGAGCTGAGAGAGCGTACATGCTATACAGTGAGCAGTCAGAAAAAATGATAATTTGAGTATAGCAGGGCTGACTCTCACTGGGAGCTTTGGCATGATCGCTTAGGCATCCAAACAATACAAGACACAACAGCACTTAAACGAAGAAAATTCGTATATCTCTGATCAAGCAAGGAGCCAAAAAATGTGCTTTGATGTTTGAAGAGTCATAGACAGTCACGTATTTGGTTACAATGGCGACACGGATCAGCACAGTCGTTATCGTCCGCCACCGACACTTCTTGACGAGAATAGTGGTTCCACAATCACGCGAAATGTCTTGCGGGCCGACGTCGTCACCAGGATCAAACCCATTATCTTGTGAAGTGGCGGGGATACCCCGATTCCGAGAATTTGTGGGAGTTTATAATGCCTTTTGGGCAAGTGTGTTGAGGAGTCAAAGACAGAACAATGACAAACTCAGGGTGACGAAGCCGCATTGTTCCCCAGCGTTCCATTGGGTGCCACTTTCGTGTTTGTTGCTGTCACGTGACACACGCAATTCACCTTCATCCGGTGGAATTGCTATCGCTCATCAGTCAGCGGAAAATAGCGTCTTTAGCCGTGACAGACGCCTGCATTCATGGCGATAGAGTAATATTCGAAAAGCATTGACTGTATCCTTTTCCAGTGACCACCACTCTACCTTGAGCTTTCCTATAAAATCATCGGAATATGTTTAGGACCGGTGGTCTTCCCACAGCCAAAGTGACCGGCCATCGGCGTATCTTACATCTCGTACACTATATTGCATTTCAAATCATCGTTGTGGGAACCACAACCCGTGGCTCGTCGTCATGTGCAGCTTCATAGTGTTGGAGACTATCATTTCATGCATATTGTAGCGGGCGCGTTTTTGTGTCGTCCGATTATGAATTAGCGCATCTCACGATGTTGGCAGCTCCAATTGACATCATGGTAGGTACAGCGTACGAGTAAGATTCAACTTGTGTTGAGATGCAAAATGCCGTTGGAAGGAAAGAGGCAATGAACTTAGATACCGCTTCATTGAAGTGCGCCGTTGCACGTTGTTGCGCCCTCTCTGTTTTTAGCTTATTGGATGGATCCTTGTTGTATCAAGTGTACAATGTATGGAACTAGTAAGGCTCATATGGAAGTTTTTCAAGCTGTAAACAAACAATCTATCTAGTATTTTTCTGACCGCCTACTGTGTTTTTTATCTTTTAGTAAGCTTTACAACGCTTGAGGTGGATAGCTCTGAGACCGTCACGGAGCTTTAGAGCTGTAATTATAGGATTATCAAAATCCATGAAACATGTCAAATCTCTGCTTCTTGGTATCACAAAAGGAAATCTCATCACGAAACATTCGTCCAGTTTCTATATCGAACTGATGTAATCATATCATATCAGAGATACCCTTTTCAAATGTGGCTTTGTTTAGTTCATAGATGGCATTCTTATGTAGTCAATCTTTTCAGTTGAACCAGATCAGGATTCGGCTTGTCCATTCTAGTAGTAGAATGAACGAAAACTGAACAGCTCAAGTCCCAATCAGTATTCACAGATCAAGATGTTCTAGTACTTTCATCCCTATCGAAGCATTTGCTCAGCCAATAAATAGCCTACATCACACAATCGATAAAATCTCAAAATGAGAAACTTTCAAGTTGCTAGCCATGATGCTTCTTTCGGTGGATCGCTAAGCAGTTTTATGGTGAGCAGCATCAAATCACTTTTCCCGTCACGAGCTTCATAAAAAAATTAAGGATATAACCTTAATCTCCGGAACGTTCCCATTCAAGTGCCGAGTTGAGTAAGTAAGGCAACACCACGTCTAATCCAATGTTTCTGTCGATGCTCAACACTCATTGGCAATCTCACTGACATGACAAAATTCGTTGAGTGACCAGTTGTTGACAATGTGCCTTGACGCTTTGAAGTTTTGTACACTGGACAAAGATACACGTGCGCTGTCCCTTTCGGATCCGTGTCTTGAATTGGTTCAATCTGATCACGAGCTTTTGGTAACAAGTGCAATATTGGAAAGCTAACATACAATTCTCGAGGTCTTGACTCGACAAGAGCGTGGTATTCGCCATCCCATCGCGCACCTTCAAGAAATAATCCATCAACGTATGCCCCGTCCTCTGCAGCTTGTGTCAGGTCCGACGATGATTGAGAAAGAACAATTGTATCGTAACCTATCTGATCAATTGGTAATTTATGTTTTCGTGCGTAGTTTTGTTGTGTGCCTGTGATAAACGCTTGTGTAAAAAAGAATCCCGACAACCAAAAGACTCGTGGAGCTTTGCCAAGTGTCACCCAATTTTGTAAAAAGCTTAAACGTGCCAAGAAATCCGTGACCCAGCTTCCTAAAGGTTTAAGAGATGGATACGCAACTGCCGACCATCGAGCTGGTACGTGGCCATTAACTATACTATTACCCATTGCTTCAAGCTCAGCAGACATGACAACAAGTCCTTTAATAGCTTTTTGTAACTCTGCTAATGTCGTATGCAATAAAGCCAACAATCGATTAAATCGTCCTAACTCCTGGGTTAAAACAGTATTCATAGATTCGGAATAAGACACTGGAAACGCTAGCTCTGCTTTTTCCAAATCGAAAAGAGGAGGGAGTTTTGATGCAATATCACGAGCAGTTTCAGCAATAATTTCGTCCCACGATTGAGCAGCATGAGCTCCCGATGCTCCTCGTGGTTGAAGTGACAAAGCGGATTCCAAAAGTAAAGTCGTTTCTGAAATTGCAGTCGAAATATTGGCATTATCATGCAATCCAAAGACTTCCGGTCCTTCATTTAATGGCAATTGGTCGATGTAGCTTAGAAATACCGACAATGAGTTGGTTGCTGGTGGTGCGTAGTAGATACCCGAAGGTGAAAATGTGTAAGTATCTGACAAAATTTCCGGCGTGTAGAAATCCGAAAGGATTGTATTGAGACATCGTCGATCTTTATCGTCCGTGACTCGACCACCATAATTACATTCTCCAGCTAAATAGGCTAAAGCAGCGTACGGAATTGGATCACCTGGCTGAAGTTCATTCAACGAAAGTTTAAGTTGATCTTTTGAAATGGCGAGATCTGAGGACGAAAAAACGTAGCGAATGTTCCATCCCAAAGGTCCAAATTTGGTTCGTTCGCGTACGACAGCGTGAAAGAAACAAAGTCCAAACAAGAGTTTTTTTAACTCAAGAGGTCGAGAACAAGTTGCAATCCATTGATCATCAATTGTCAAGTATGAACCTTTCAGATTCGCACGCATTCCCTTTGGAGGTTCATTCGTCATTTTCACGCCATGTTGAAGAATATACGATGGAAAAGCAGGTGTAGGTTCACTTGTAAGCCACAATCGGAAACTTGCATGAACACGATCTGGAGTGATTTCTTCACAAATTTTCTCCAACGTTGGGAGCCAACTCAGTGACAAGTGACAATTCTGTAAACAGACCCATGTGCCATTATCAATCGCTTCAGCAATAGCATTTTCAGCCAAAGGTCCTTGACCTTGACCAAGTGAAATGGCGACAAACTTCTTCTGAAAATTTAACTCCGCTGCTAATTTTAACAATTCAGACATTGGATCAGCACCGGGCGTTAGTACAAAAATCAACGGTGTTGAACATGTTGAATCGTCATAACCAGCTTTCAGATCAAATGGTTGAGGTTCAATAAATCGCTGTCCCATTTCGAAAGCAACAAACGACATTATTGCTGGAATGACTTTATCGGGGCGTAAACACCGAAGCACAAGAAGACGCTGGAACGCGTCAAACGATGCAACACTTGAAAGAGTTGCTAACGTTTCTGCAGGATCACTAGAGTTGTAAACACTTTCCCAAACACTTAATTCCGTCACGAAAGTGTCACTAAAGCCTGAAAAGGATGGTAAAGCATCTAATCCAATAATATTTGCCCATAATTTCTCATGAAGCCATGAACTAGAATGCAGAGGATTACGTTTTGCTACTTCCATTTGGGTATTTCCAGTGAAAAAGTAGCGTAACTCCATTGTGTCAATCGTTCCATTTCCTACCAAGATTTTAATTGTGACTAAAAAAGCAAAGAGCAATTTATCTTTTTCAAACAATGAACGACAGACATTTTGATATAAAATGAATGTAAATGCGTCATTGAGATGATTGAGACGCGTTGTTAAGATTCCTGACCTCTCAGCTCGACTGATTGAAAAGATAAAGAGATTAATAAACCACTCGAGGGCGTATTGGTACATGGGATCAATGACAATAAGATCTGCAATTGAAAAAAAGAGTTGAGATGCTCGAAATGCCACTGGTAAGTATCCTTGTCGTTTCTCGGCAATCAAATGTTGAGTTTTAGCTGCTTCGCGAACTTTATCTTGAATCTTGTTTGCAGTTAGTTTGGAAGCATTTAATGTTTCAATCAATCGTTCATCGTCGAGAATGTTCCCTTTAGCCGTTTGGAGTAAGTACAGAATCTGATCTTCGATCTCTTTCAACGTCTTTTTATTCGCTGCATCCTCCAACACTAATTGTTCTCGCTGTTGTTCCAAAACCGGTTCTTCCTTTGCAACGACAATCCCAAGCATTTGATCCTGTAGTCCTTCTTCAGTCGCCATAAAATTAAGCAAATTCACTTTGACACATGTCTCGGGAGGATAATGTGGATTTCGTAATTTAGTCGTCAGATACAATCGAAAACTTTCATCGTATTCAACCGTATTGTCTCCTAAACGGATAGTTGCTACACTACCAGTCTTGACAATTTGTTTTAGTAAAATTGGTTCAAGCATTGGATCAATCTCTTCCGGAACATTTTCAATCAAGAGCGCAGCTCCAATCATAACAGAATTTTCAAGTGTCCGTACAAAACCTGCTTGAGACTGTTTGATTACTTTTAAACTATTGCTTTCCTCCATGTTTTTCACCCATCGATTCGCTTGTCCTTGTGGATCAATCATCAATGGCCATCGATTACTACGTTGCAACATAATAGCATTCTCAATCGAAAACGAATCATTAGGAAGCTTTGCAATCGTCCATTCCCGAATTTGTACCGCATCTCCAAGTGTCTCTGTTAATGTAAACGTTTTGGAGCATGCTAGCGATTGTTTTGTAAGTTCGGTACACCATTGTCGTACTGAACGATCACGATACACGCTAGTAAATGCTCCAAGGTACGCAATGACACCTGACGCTAGCATGATATCTCCCACCACGTTATCGTATACAATCTGTAGTCGTGCCGACATATCAAACCATCGCGCCTTCTCGCCTCCTAATCCACCAATAAGCTGCGTTGCTCTTGTTAACTTCGTCGAACAATCGTCTACTTGTGCCTCCAAATCGCTCTTTTTCTTGTATGCAGCAGCTAAATTTTCTTCCAGTCGTGCAACTTTGTCCAGTACTAATTCAAGTGCATCCTGTTTGATCTTTAATTCACTCTGAGCTTTCTCAAGCGCCAATGTCGCCGCTTTTAATGCTTCACGTTTCGGTGCCACAATTTTAGCCACACGGTCGTACACAACCATCGCATGTACCCAACTACAAAGTCCAGAAGCAGCGACCGATGCTTTCCGAATTTTCTCCGCTTGGAAATCGGGATTCAAAGCATAAGGTCGCACTTTTTCCATTGCTTCAACGGGAATATTATCCTTATCATATTCTAGTAAATTTTGTAAAAATCTCGTGTCTCCAAGCAACGTTTTTTGAGCTGGCGCCCAGTAATCGTCGACTTTCTTCGTACCTCCCGCTGGATCTTTGATCTTAACTGGTGGCACTCGCATCATAATACAAACGGCTTCCATCACAAGTTTCACACCATCCGGCGGCTTTTTCATTGCTTTGATTTCTGTAATATCGCCTTTCGTTAACGTTTGCAAAGCTTTCACGGCATTTTCCAATGCTGGAATGGCTTCTGCCAGTTCCGCTTCACAGCTTTCTTTAATCCCATTCGCTTCGGCTGCTTGATCATTACAAAGTGTTTCTTCAGCCTTGACAACATCTTTGGTTGCATTCGCTTCCTTTTGTTCTCGTGAAATTGTCACTAACAACGCATCCGTTTCAATAGTCGCAACTTTCAGTAATGGCTGTAAAGCTTCCAATTCAATCTGCATCTTCTCCACTTGTTCAGCAGTTTCCATGAGCTTTGTTAATCCGTTATCATACCGCTGTTTCATCGTCATAATGTCAACGCGTTTGGTATTTAATAATTTCTTAAACGTATTGAGTAACTCGAGATATGACGTCGGAGTAACGTAGTAATATCGACGCAAAGACTGCAAAAAGTCACGACTTAAATCACTTATACTCTCTTGCATTGCAACACAAACATTAACAATGCCATGTTTAATCTGACTTGAAAGTTCGAGATCAATAAGAAAAGAATTCGCAACAGATCGTAGCGCTTCTTCTGGCCACTCTGTAAACCAATCAATCGTACAACAATTCACTAACGATGGAAACATTCGTAAGCGACGACGAAAAGCTTCACCGATTGGAGATAAAGCTAACACAATGTGCAAATTTGTACGACAACGACTAAGAAAAAAATTATACAGCTCGGTACTATTTCCACCATTCACACCAGCTGCAGTAGCTGCAGATTCGAGTGCTTCATTCATTTGAGCAAGTTCATCATTCGTCCATAAATTAGCGACTTCTCCAGTGTTTAACAGTCCATTGATATCTTCCAAATAAGTTTCTTCCACAATCTGCGTGTCAGAAAACAAAAAGACAGTTGATTGATTATACAATCCACTCAATTGACACACTTTCTTAAGATCATTCCGCCATTCCGTTTTAGAATAGGATTTCGAAATTTCAATCTGAAACAATTTAAAATCCGCCATAAACACAGCTAGTGTCGTGAGACTCTTGCGACCACTTCCACCGACACCAACAAGTAGTGCATTACCTAAAGGCTGATGGATAATACGTGAGATACGTGCAATATGCTCGATAGCATTTTGAAACAATACAAGTCGCATTGGAGCTGCACTCATTTGATTGTAATCATCTAAATAATTCTGCATCACATTCTGTAACTGGCCTTGATTTTGTAGCTCGGTATACTTTTTCACACCATTCTTTCCCACTGTACCAAAGTTCCCGTAAATTAATGGTGCATTCAGACTGCGTACAGTCGTAGCTGTATCTTGCAATTCAAAATACGAGTGAGCCGTTTTCTCAACGTTTTCTGCAAACCAAAGTCGATCTTTCTCATCAATTAAACGGTCGGAAAAAACACGAAGACATTCATGCATCCATAATCGAACAAAGGCATTATGATCTTGAATTGTATCACTTGAAGCTTGAGCAATTCCTTGAAACACTTTGGATAGATCTCGTAAATTAAAAGTATAATGCGATTTGGCTGGCGTCGGTAACAAGACTTGAGAAATAGAATTGTAAATGTCAATAGTGGCATTCACAACGGCCTTTCCAAGCTGTTTTAATGAGTGTGCAAACGTTCGTAAGAACCAGTCAGTGATTTTTGTAAAAATTGTACGAAGCGAGTCGTCGTCGAACGGAACAAAGTTGATGAGGTTAAAGTATCGTACATATCGTTGAGTTATTCGCGTACGACCTCCACCAGGTGGTCCCATAGCAGCAAGAAATTGAAGATCTACGAGCTGCGTAAACGAATTATCCTTACGATTGTACCATCCACCATGACCCATCCATTGACGCAATAGTTCAATCGGTGGCTGTGCTCCGTACGTCTCTTTCGCAGGCATATTGAGGTCATCAACGAAGATCACGCAGCTCTGTCCGACAGGAGGTCCCAAAACGCCTTTACGTCGTTTCTCTAACTTTGCTTCGATCAAATCTTGCGTTTGATTTGCACTAGTTTGAGCTGAGAAGTTTAAAATGATAGAAGACGCAAATTCACCCGTCTCACCAGGTGCATTCAAGCCACTTAAAACCTTTTTCTTGATTGACACAGACTTACCGGTGCCGGTATCTCCCGTACATAAGACATGAAAACGGTGGCGTACGAAAGTGTCTAAGAGCCATGCAGTGCGCTCCGAGTCGATTGTTGGTACCAAAATTTGCGTGAACTGGGAATCGTGTGGGATCTCGAAAGCATCTGCACCCACAGCTTCCATCCAGTTGACCCACACATTACGTCGTACATCAAAGCGATAGTCGTACACTAATCCCTCGTTAGGAAATGGACGCATTGCTGCTCGATCCGGTTTAAGAACGTATGAAGGTGATTTGGCTACAAAATCCTCAAAATACTTCAAAGAATCAGAATCACGTATCTTGTCTTCAATCTCTTTATTGTTAGACATGGCAATTGCCTTTGTCAGCTCTGCCGAGAGGAAGTCGCGCAAATATCGGTCAAATTCGCGGCGTGATTTCGTGTTAACGCATGCACCGATAGACCAGATCACGGCCTTGATCAATATACACTCAAGTGTACCTTCAGCTTCTATACCGATTGAAGTAGCAGCTCCAGCTCCTGCCAAGCTTTCTACAACAACGTCTGGAAATCCATCTTTCAAAGCGCATTCAAATAATCGCAACAAGGACGCCGTATGCTCAAGAAACGTGACTGGCGTCGGTACTGTACAGTGTTTATCGACAAAATATAGCATTGGAGGTATAAGCCATTGAAAAGACTCCTCTAAAAACTCTTTGTACGACACAAATGCGACCGGTAAACGCGTGCGTAGCCACGTGCGTACTAGCACGTCCCAGCCCAGTACTTTGGCTTCCAAAAAAACCATGCCAACCCGTGAAACAGTAGCAGGTGAGGCTTCTTCTAGATCATCCGTCTCAAATACCATACGCATCCGATCAGTCATCTTGACAATCTCCCCACTCATCAAACAAAGTTTTTTATTGTCGTCTAGCACCGTGTTCATATTTTCAATCCAGACGGCATCAACCGGTCCATCAAACATAACCCACTGCAACTCTGAGCTCAAATCACGCGCACACGCTCGGTACGTACACGCAAGCACTCCGTCTGACCATTCATGCGTATTTTCGTCAAAGTTTCCGTATAATTGACCACTTGTGATAGCTTTGGGGTTCATTGTATGAATATGCACGCGCTGATACATCGTACATGTGCCAACAGTTTCCATCTCCTCTAAACAACACGAGGTCAATGCTGTCGCGAGCGTATGGACGACGCACGTTTTGCCAGACCCGGTCGTGCCGACGATCATGAGTCCGTGACGTACCTGAACGGTCTCGTAAAACTGTACGACTTTGAGCTTAAACTCTGGTTTGCACTCCAGTGGAATGTTCACTTCTGGTATGATCGAAATGCCTCGACTACACGTTTCATCAATGTGACGAAGCAGTGTCCCATGGTCAGGAAGAGGTAATAAGACACCAGGAAAAAGATCTGACGTGATGCCTCGGAACAAAGGCAAGTCATCTGACGTAAACTTGGGAAGGTTAACATCCTGTACTGAACGCAGAACAATTTTATCTTCGGTCCAGAATGGATCGTTGCCCAATTGCTGGCGCAAGGCACCAGTAGCTACAAGAATCGAGTTGACTGCACGCATACCATAGTCGTAGTGTTTTTGAGACGACAGTTGTTCAGATGCCAGCTGTAGGACTTGCGTGAGTTTACGAGCATTACTCCGAGCTTGTGCAAAACCGAAGGAGTATAGTCGGATCTCGGAAATCAAAGCGTAATCCGGTACCATCATCGCACATGGACGGAATAAAGCTTTAAGATTATCCGGCAATTCGGCACGACCAGCATAACCTGGATTCATCGTAATAAAGACGTTGGCACTTGTGTTTAATTTAATCATTGTGCCCTCAAAAAGAAACTTGTCTGCGCCTGCTTTCTTGCCTTCATTAATCGTCAAAATCTGCTGCGCAATGACCGACAAGACTTCGATGTTAATGCGATTAAATTCATCGAAACAACACCACGAACCACATCCAGCTAGACCCTTAAAGAACTTTGCCATAGCCAAATAGTCTAACCCGTCTGAACAATTGAAAACGACGCACTGAATTGCGATTGCTTTACTTAAATCCTTCACCGTCTCTGTCTTGCCCGTCCCGGCTGGTCCTTCAGGTGCACCGCCATACATTAAATCTACAGCCCCCATCATTGTACGATAACATCGATCAGTAAGTGGCGTAATCACCAGCCGCATCGTATTTCCAAGGTACTCATAGCCGTACTGAACACGAGCGTTCACAATTCGTGCTTGCAAGTCCAATTGATTGCCATTCTTTCCACTCTCTGTCCAGTAATATCGAAGCTGGGAGATCCACTCAAAGTCTTGATCACTCTCGACTTCCTTTTCAATCATGTGAGATATTGTATCGCGTGCATGGACATCAATCACAACAAGTGCTCCGATTGTTGTACGCTCTAATTTCGTCAATTGACCACGAACAAGCATCACAATCATCTCCAATTGAGTATTTAACTGTTGTAAGTACGCTTGAATGCCCTTGCTTCCATTTCCAGCATTGAGCGCGCGCGTCACGTCTTGTGTCCAATAAACTTGCGAGACAGCAAGCACGACTTGTGCAGGCCACTGAAGTATCCACGTCTCGCGTTCATCCAATAGATACGCACCAATGGATCGCTCCGTGTGGTCTCGGATCGTATCCCATTGACTCTGTTCAACCTCAAGCAGCCACATCTCTACATTCCCTTTATTCGTCTGGCTTTCTGGGCTAACAGCGTGTTTTAATGGTACAATTTCTCCTTCTGCGGATCGCATTTCAGTAATCACTAATGGTTTGTCCTGGAATGTAACGTTGTAAATCCCCTCAAAACATTTGCCTAAATGTGGCTGGACAGCTCGTGGTTCTTTCGTCTGAGAAAGAATTTCTAGCAATTCATCGTTCGAAAGGAAGAAAAAGCGTGGAAAGTGAAGTCTCTTCATTTCAAGATAATCATTTAATCCTTTCTGGATCTCGTCTAGCTTTTCGTTTGCCCGTTGAAACTTGGCGAGCAATTGATCCATTGCAACAACAGAAAGAAATGTCGGGTCACTCACCGTTTCATCCATTGTTTTCCGCCATAACGCATCGACACTAGCAAATCGACGAGCTTCCGTAGGCATTTGCCGCATGATATCGTCGGAATTAAAGATCGCTTCAAGGTACAACCATGTCCGTTGACAGGCCATCCATTCGTCTAACAATTGCTGGGAGTACTGCAATTTCTTTTCCCACGCTTTACAATCTTTATCAATACTTTTAATGTACGGCGATCCACGCATTGTCTGCGTCTTGACCAAATGATCATCCAAAAGAGCCACCAAATCATCAGTGTTGCGCAACAAGTATGTGCCCGTCTCGCGGTACGCTACAGTCTCAAACGCAATAGATTCCCACTCTGCCATCATGCCGCTTAAATTCTTTTGCAGTGCGTATTCTTTCTCTGCAAAAGTTCCAATCTCTTGAGTTGTCTCTAAGTGTTGCATGATATGATGATCAAGTAAAAATTGTAGTGTTAAGTCTTCTTCCGATTCATTAAAACCAACGGTACGTCGAATATTGTCCCAGTGTCGTTCTTGTAGTGCTGGACTCGCGAGCGACTGAATCACAGGTAAGTACGCTTTAAAAGCTTCTGTGCGTTCACGTAAAATCAAAGCCACTTCCGCTGATTCCGGCGCGTCATCGACAAGAGCTTTACTCAGCTTGTACGAAGTTTTCCACCACTCAGTCACTTGCGCCTCGATTGTTTTGCCTTGTAGTTCCAAGAACGATCCCTTCAGCCACATCTGGCAACTAGAAGAAAATTCAGCACTCATCGTCCATAACTTATAGTATGGAGCAAATTCTGCTTCCAATTTCATAAGTATCGGCGTGTACTCGGTTGGAGGAAAGCTAAAGACTGCTTCCCGTGCATTAAAGTCCAGCGCCTTTGTTCGTGCGTCTTGCAGTGCATCAAACAATGTGATAGCCATTTCGACGTACTTCTCTGTTTGTTCAATGTCGCCGTATCGTGTAAATGCTTTAACTTCGCTTTCATAACGTTCTAAATCGATTTCAAACGCTTCCTTTTCAAGCGCTAAACGATCCATCATCCGCACCTTATCTCCTTCTAAAGCAGAATCACAATGTTCTGCTGCAAAAGTTACTTTACGAGGCCACTCTTTCGTAGACTGAGCAAGCGTAAAATCTTCAATTGAGAGTTTGTACGAAAATTCATTCAGTGCGTCCAGCCGTTCGTGAACCAGCATAACTTCACGTTCAATGCCCACCATAACGCCTTTACTTTCGGCGACATATTGCTTCAATCGAGCCAATTGTGCTTCATTTGCTGGCTTCTCCATGATACGCGCCAAAATCGCTGCGTACCGTGCCGTGATGGCGAGATTGTGCGCTCTAGCATCCCGAAGTAAGCTCAAAATAAGCGTATCACGTATCGCTAGTGCTTGAGCGCTCAGCTGCTGTTTCAAAGCACTCGTGTTGACGCAAACGAGTGGTAACGTGACAAAGTCAAGCGCAATATCATCCACAAGACGCGCGAGATGATGAAAGCGCCGAATTTGTCCACACAATCGCGGCAAGTACGCGTGTTCTTGTCTTGTTAACTCGTGATCTTGTTTGACGAGCTCAAAATCCGCTTGTTGCAACGGCTGCAGCTCTGCGAGGAATGCAGACGTGTCGAAATGTACAGAATCTGTAAAGGAGGAAAATTGATCAGCCAACGCTTGTGCAGCCTGCATGGCGTGGCTAACATTCTGGTGAATGCTTGCTTTTGCCGCTTCGAGAGCATCAAGACAATCAGCGCACACTGTACGACCACCTGACTCTTCTTTTTCAAAACCTAAGTCAAGCAGCGGTCTTCGATCGAGACTTAAGAGGCTCATGATGTCGCAATCAAGCCGGTCGATTTCTTGCACTGTACTCGCAATGGCATCGAGCGGTCCCACTAGCGCTGTTATCACATCTTGAGCTGACGGCTCCACCACGACTTTACCGCTAACAAACACGAGTTGAACGCTAAACAACGAGCGGCACAACGTTCGTTTCGCATGCTGTGAGTGTGTTCGAATACCTTTAAGCGTCACATTCTGATTCTCATGACTGTTGTTTTTGTCGTTCACTCTTCCGTGCCTACCACTCTCTGCGTACTGTCGTACAAAACACTTCCATTCTTCAATCGATCGATGCATAAGTTGACGCAATTGAGCGGAAAGACGAGCTTCGAGTCCTGTTAAAATACGTTTGAGTCGGCTACCATCGTACACTTTTCGGTCGGACAGAAACAAATCAAAGTGATCTTGTAAATTATCAATCATAGTTTCCACCAATGCACGTCTCCAGTCAGTGAGTAGAATCCCGGCGACTTTGTTACTGTGTGCAGCTTGCAAAGCTTGAAAATCCAGCACTCGGAACGGCATTTGTGACGCTAGAGTTGCTGCCTCTGATGTATCAAGATTTCCAGTAGCATTTTCCAAATCAATGTGTACCAAAAGTAGCTTCTGAAACGTTTTATCCCAGCCCATGTACATTCGTCGCAAGATGACAAGTAATTGAGGTGAAGTCGTGAATAGATTGGTGCTCAGACGTCGTCGATTTCGACTAAACTCGTGCGCTGGAACAGCTACCTTACCATACTTGGGAGTTTCTCGCTCACTTGGCTTCTTTGTGATATCTAAACCTCGAAATCGTGCTTGAAGAGCTGGATCCTGCCGTATTTTCGATAATAACGCCGTCTTTTTCATACTCCGCATATAATCTTCAAGGGCAGCGTCAGTGAGTTGTCTCAGTACAAATGCCGTTGGATTTGAGTCAACTAAAGCAACCCGCTCGGGCAATCCCGCTATAACTCGAGCATGAATACTTTCCAAAGTTGCTCGATCCATTGCACGAAAGTCCGACGAGTTGTCATGTCTTGCTAAGAAAGCATCAAATCGTAACATTGCTTTCACCGTATCTCTACGCGCTCTTGCTGCAGCTATACGCTTTTCAAATGTCACAATTGACTCGCTTTCGAAACGTAAATTGATCCGACGCACATATTTTTCTTTATCAGAGCCTAAAAATCGCACAAGATATTGCTCCCGACTTTCACTATACTTAAGCACCTCACAACTCCTCCAACGCCATTCATTTCGAAAGAAATACGGTGATGCACCTCTGTGCTCTTTCTCAAGCCATTCATATGGCGTGTATGCTTCGTATTCATTACTATCAAATTCATGTAATGGAAATTGAGATTGGTCTAGTTGCCAAATGGTTTCGTCATCAAAGTCATTAGATATCGTATCCGTGGAGGTTGTTGCATTTTGAGCCACACTAGTATCAATAAGTTGATTACGTAACTTTCCTGGAAATGGACGCACAGGAGCTGCAGCTGTAAGTTTATGTTGTTGAATTCGTATGTCGTGCTCTCGAAGGATTTCTTCAGCTGATTTCCACCGATGTGGACGATTATTATGATCCACCCGTGTCAAATCAGCTTGAACTTTATGCTGCTTCTCAATTGAAGCTGTCGCTGCAGCTTTGCGATTCGCACGAGCGACTACAGCAGCACGAGTTTGCTGCACACGTCGCTCTTTGTCCTTCCGATGTTGTTTGTGAAGTTGAAAACGTGCTAAAAGCTGTTGCTTTGGACTTAACGAATTCGATGGCTGTTGATCATCCTCTACATTTATCGACACATTCGAAGGCGACTGAGCCATGTTTCCGAGAATCTTAATCCATCACAAGCTACATAAGCTGATACGTCAAGCGTCGCGCCCCTTAACATTCGAACTTAACGACTAAGTCCTTTTTGTCTGGACTTAAAATAGTGTTTTCCCAATTATAATCAAGCCAGTACGTGTAACTTGATTTCAGTATTAACTTCTTCAGTGGGCCATTTTTGCGACCTTATACATTCGACGATGGAGAACCGTGCGTCGTCTACGTGCTCAAGTTTCCTATCGAACGACGGCAGTGATGACCTGGTTGTACGATTTCAATGGGGAGGTGAAGCTATTGGGCTTGAACTTATGCGAGAACCTAATCCTACAACCGTACACACGGTTCATTGGGGCTCTCAACCGCTTGGATTGACTTTAGGCGTCGAAGAGACATCTCGATTGGTTATTGTAACGCGTTCTTCGCGACCTGATGTGAACGTGGGTGACGTTCTTTTAAAAGCGCGTGGAGAGCCTATTACTGAAGCGAATCTTGCGTCTCGTATGGCGATGCTCAAGCAAGAACGGGAGCTTTGTCCAGGAATTCCATTTGTCTTTGCACCGCCTCCGTCACCTGTGCATGTGAAAAAGTGTGAAGGTGCATTAAAGGAAGCTGGTGTCGATTCAAGTTTTGAACTACGGTATGTGGACGGAAGAGTCGTGCGATATCTTGAAATGAGAGAGCTTCATATATTGATCAGTAACTCGCATAAGCCATGTACCATGGCATTTGTGCAGAGTAAAGAGAAACAATTTTATGGTTTGCTCCAGAAACAAGAACAGCAACGACGTAAGCATCAACAGGTGGGCCAAGCAGCAGCAACAGGTGCCGGTCTTGCATTGGCGGCAGCTGTTGTTGTCAATATGACGTGATGACGCTTGTATATACCAGATCAAGATGGAAGTGTTTCAGCGAAAGGTGCTACTTATCAATGAAGGGGTGAAGCTTGCATATTTTGAAAAACAGTAGAAAGCATTTTTATGATTGTTAATCCGTACATAGACTACTTCTTGAGCACCATGTAAAAAAATCGAAAAAAGGGGCTGATTTTCGCGATGTTAATGTAGTGATCAGTTTTAGTGAACTACATTTCACCCACGATGCACTCGCTCGTGAAGGAATAGTAGTAGATGTACAACAGCCTGAGGCAGGCATTGCAAGAGGGAAGCAGGACATTGCGCGACTTTTCGTGGTCACAAACGAGAGCAATCCTTGCTCGTGCTCTACTATTTTGATTGCAACTGCTTGACCATATAAGAGCAAAAGAAATATTGTTTGTGAAACGGGTTGTCGTGCACCCTGCTTTTACTCGCAGACTGCGTTCTGCAATGCTTAAAGCAAGAAAAACGCTCTTTTCTAGCATATAAATGCTCCTCTCATATTACTCCTTCGAAGAAAGAGTGATGTGTTTGAGAAGTTGAGGTGCGCAGTAGGAGGCAAGTTTAAAAGAGATAAATATAAAGACCTTTGTTCGCTACTCTGTGCTGCCTCTAAGCCTTTGTTACGACGCCATTCAGGGCGCAGTCATGTCGCGTTATCGTAGGCGCAAATAGACGAGGTTGTCCTACGATCCAACAATTTAATCGCGCATTGTATGCTTAAAGCTGTTGTTCCTACGTTTCGTCTCGCGATCGTAATCCCGTCGCTATACTTAGCGCAAGCCCCGCAAGCTTTATCAGCTTTACAAGCTGGTGCAAGTTCAGCATCTAAGTTGACAAATCTGCCAGCATGAGGACCGACCGGACGAAGCGCATCTCTTTAACGCAGCGACGATCAAAATCTCGAACAAAGTTGAGAAACGCATCGATGTAAGAATTACATTTATTTCTCGACCTGACGAATAGCGGCCTGGGCATTCACATACTTATATGAGCATTGCCTTTCTCCATCCTTCGGCTTTCAAAGTGCGCTTTGCATCAGCGTTAGTCTTTGAATCAGCCTCATAATACTGCATGACAGTTGCTACTTCAATTCTAGTCGCTTTGTGTCTTGTGCCGCTCGCATGAAACCGCCGAGTGTGACATGGGGTGCACACACTTACAATAGCTGTGCCCTTTGCTAAAGCTAAGCGGAGACCTCTTCTTGTTCATAACGTAGTTGGTCTCTGGGATAGTCAAAGATGTAATAACATTCTTGATGTACCGGATCACCATTACGGCATTTTTCTAGCATACAAACTTGGTCTCGACGCTGCGATTCACGATCGTACCTAATTGCGCCCGGCGCAAAAAAGCTTCTATCGGTTACGATACAGTGTGCAAACCGAGCCAAAAGTAGCGGTGCATTATCCAGACATTATCCTGAGTGCGGATACCTGTACAAGATCAACATTATAACTTCTCCGTCGTAACATTCCTTCTTCATCCACCATCGGGGCAAGTTGCCAATATTATTGCATCCAGAGAATGCTGGTGTCTCAACACGCGACCGATGTCTGCAGAGAAGAGAAGAGAAGAGAAGAGAAGAGAAGAGAAGAGAAGAGAAGAGAAGAGAAG